GATGATCAAATTATAGACAGCCTTATGAAATAAACAAGTGTAAACTATGTGCCTAACCTCTAAATAAAACCCACAAATTATGATTTTGCTATATATAAAGAATATATTAGCTATTTTAAAGGCAATAATATAACAATATAATAAAACAGAATAGTTTACTGAAGATGTTCATTGTTTTTGAGTAATAGAATTTAATCTTTCCTAGCAAAATAGTTTTGTGTATGTAGAAACACTCATATCTCATAAATATTTTATCCCCAGTAACATAAACACTCAAACGTAAATATTCATGATAATATATGTACATAAAAAAAGGTGAATTATAGTTTACAAATGGTATTTGTCCATTCATTTATTTAAAAAATAAAAAGAAGAATAGACAGTTATCACATGCTGAACTCAGAATTATCTCATTGGCTGACTGTAAGATCTTAAGTTGTTAAATTAAAAGTTGGCGAACTTTCTACGGTACGTTAAGTTCTTAAGTTACGTTACTAACATTTATAAATAAGTATATGTAAATTCAATATTTCAATATCTTACGTTAATTTCTTAAGTTACGTTACGGCGGTTATAAATTAAGCTTTATTTTCATGCTACATTCGTAATTAATCCCAACCACTCATATATGGCTATCCCCACCCTTAATTTTATAGCATCTTCTTGTACCACAATCTGCAAAAAACTGACAAGCATTGAAACGTTCTTCAAATTGGTGTCGTGGAATCGATGTTATATTTTAAGATGTTCCTCTGAGAAGCTATTAACTTTTCCCAGTTTTGATGTTTTTACAAAACATATACAAATCTCTCACCAAATAAGGCTTATTAAAATATCGCAATCCTTTCTGTAAATCACCCAGAAGAAAGCCTTCATTATCAAGATGATGACTTCAAACTCTTGAAAAAGTGGGTACATATATATTAGAAATTAAAAAAATATCGACCCCTACATTTAATCGATTTTGTCTTTTGTTACATATAAAACACAACGAAGCATTTGTCAAATTACAGAAAAATTAAGGCAAGTCGAACATTATCCAAATTATCTCAGATTGAAGGTGATTTTCAAGAGTTTCTGGTTATCATCTTGATAATCGAGGCATTCTGTTACGTGAAATTACTTTAATTTCAAATTTTTTTTAACAACTTCTCTATAACCCCTCGTAACACAATTTAAACGACAACCGCTCGCTTCTCGAGATTTGCAAAGTACGGTTTGCGCACGTGCCTATCGTTTCTTTCGGAATCCACGCTGAGATAAAACCGACTGGTGTTAATTTAACCGGCCTTTTGGTTTATCGAGTTCAAAAACTTCAATGTGGTAGTGTGTGCCGACAAATAATCTACTATGAGTAGATTTCCGTAATTATCTTGTCTTTTATATGTGCTTGTGTGTTAACGTTGGGATAATTGTCAGGTAATGTTTCTTTCAACTTATATTTTAACACTTTGCGAATTTAGTTAGAAAGCCGATAGATCGGCCATTTGCTTTTTTTATTACCATCATGCTGACGAGTGCCGGTTATTACTGTTTTATTTTATTTTATATAGATTATAGCTACCCTACCTAATATTTTTAAGCTTTCTTTGATATACACGAGGGGAGACAAATTGAATTACAAGTCAGTCTGGAAATACAGTTTAAACGGAAATCTATGGCTCTTAACTTATTTTGGCCTTATAGTTTATATTTTGTTCAGATGATGTAAAACTTATTGTTATAACTTATTTTGGCCTTATAAATATTTTATATTCTCTTCAGATGATGTAACTTTAATATTTGTCCTGATATTTTATATTCTGTTTAGACCATGTAACTTTAATATTTGTCCCGTTTATGCATAAGTCCGTTAGATTTCTGGCATGTAGATGTATTATTCCTGTTACTGAGGTTCTTTTTTATTTCTAAACCTGTAGTGACTGCAAGCCCGAGTTACGTAGTTTCTCCAAGAAGCTCCGAGTTACATAGATTCTCCAAGTTCCGAGTTCCAAGTGCGAGTTACATAGTTTCTCCAAGTTCCGAGTGGGATCTCCAAGCTCCAGGTTATGTAGTTTCTCCAAACAAGCTTCAAGTTTCTAAGTAAAGTCGAAATAGCTCCAAATAGCTCCGAAGCAGCTCCGTGTAGAACCAAGTCTGGACATATCTCCAAGTCTCGACATACGACAGGGAAGTACCGCTATAGAATGCCACATGGCCGAGACAATTAAATATCTATTCAAATTCATTTAATTAATTTTAATCCATCTTTCAAATTTAATTATTAATTTATTGTATAAATTCATTCTTTTTACTTTTTTTATTAAATGTATAAAATTTTCTCACTTTCTTTTATTTGCCAGAACTCATAACAAATAACTTTAAGTACCAGAGACTAACTCGATTAAACAGGCATATCAAATCAGATAAGTTTTCCAAGTTACTCAAAAACTTGGTGGCTCTCAACATTTTTGTCGTTATCGTATTATAGTATCTTTCATTTTATCGTAGACTTTGGCCCGCGAACAGGTCAAACTACTCTGACTTCATTTGTCCTGGTCAATTTATGAATCCACGCAGTACCAGCAGTTTGAGCTAAATCACCACTGTAATTAACCAATTTTTATAATAACTTTTTATAAAATATTAGTGCCAAATAATCTATATTTCATGTTTTCTACAACAAACGCGAATTAAATAGGTTATGAGAGATATGCTTACAAAAAAGTGGCATTTCCGATGTTTAACACCCGGTACCTCGAAAACTAGTCATAGAACCGGTTTGGACCAATGGACACAAAGCATCGAGTTCTACAACATATCAACATTTCAGAAAATTTGACAGAAAGCCATTTTTCCATAAGAATGGTGCCTGGTCCTTTACTGCAACACATTCACGCCGGGTCAAATGATAGTGAGACAAGTTAGCACTGGGTCAAAAAGGAGACAAATTAGAGCGTCATAAAATTTTCCATTATTCTAGTAAAAAAAAAAAAAAATTGACTGTGGTCTGCACGGGTTGCATGATATGGTTCCAGGCCGCACAGGTTAGGTAAATTAGTTAATTTTTTTTAAATTTTAATTTGAATACTGGAATATTTTGTCACCTATAAACTTTACTCGCTATAATTTGACCCAACGATAACTGGTCTCTCATGTATTTGTCTCGGCCCGAATGTGTCGCGCGCTAAAATGGATCGAATCCATAAAATGTTCATTATTATCTATAACCTTAATTTTTAGTAAATTTTAAGCGAATAACCAAGAGGATTTGGTATGTACCATTTGAGATCGGTAATTAACCCAACATTCAATGATTTCAGTTATTAATTTGGTAATGTATATATCGCTGATTGGCCAGAACAACGAAACAATTAAAATATACTGTTTTTACGATAAGAAGACACTGACGTCATTTCTAGTATTTTCTATTGTCAACGGAATAACACGAAAAAAACTAAGAGCAAATACGATTTAAACTTAACGTGCAGAGGAAACTTTTAAAGGCTGGCAACACTTCACGGGGTTGCCGATATGACAACGAAAATAATTGATTCATCAATCAACATTCGTTTGCAGGTTAGGTCGTTTCGTTTGATTTGTTGTGTGTTCAGTATTCTTTCAAATTTACAAGAAACAGTAATTTTCATTACTATCATAACTAATTGATTGTGTCAGTCTTCAGTGTGAGGTGAAAATTCAAAAAACATGCCTAAACCTTTAACCAGCTTATGTCAAGAAATGGTAACAGCTCTGTTAAACTATTTTCAACGAGAATGTGAAAATAGGGCGTTAGCAGTTCAATTTTGACAAAAATGTGACAGCCGTTTTTTTCTTCCTACCCCCTTTATTTCCTTTATATGAGTTACGGAGTTAGTATGAACAAATCTTAATTTGACTACCATTTTTAAACTGTAAATAGAGAGTTGAAGTCATGCTATAAGTGTAAACGTTAACGTGAGAATTGACAGCTATGCATGCGCATTCAAATTAATTGTCATTTTCTGTCATAACTGAAAATATTATTTATCTCTAAACCACCAGAAGTATATGAAGCTGATATATTAGCAGAAAAATAAGGACTTAAGGTACTTCGACTACCTTCTTACCACTTTGGGGCATCACTAAAAATTATTATAGCAATAATGTGGGAACGGGTGTTACTTCAGCAGAAAAAGCACTAGCTACATGGGAAGAAGCTTTAGGAAAAGCAACTCCTGGTATTTGGCTGAGAACAGTTCAACACACTAAAAAATAATACAGAATTGGTGGGATAGGGAAGTGGTATTTGATAGGGAGGATGTGCCTCTAGTTATTATTACTTTGGATGACGATAGTGAGGATTCCCTAGAAGATTAGTGAGCATTCCATAAAAATTAGCTTCGAGAGAACAAGACAAGTCCATAAGTGTCATTACTACCTGTAGTTAGAAATAACCAAATATAACAATAACAGATGCTGGAGTCTGTACAGCATGTAACACAATGGAAACGTAAATCATGAGAAAATTTTAACTCGTTGGTAGTGAACCTGCGCCAAGATATTAGTAGCTGCGAAGAAAGCGATAATTAAAAAAATATATTATTAAAAAATTACATAACTATTAATTTTTATTTGAACGGTAAAACCCTTTTCTTACTATTCCATTCTAAATTAAATTATAAATTTTTAAAGTTGATAGCACATCATATATGCATTTATATTCAAGATAGGAAAAAAGAAAGAACACTGTCACAATGTTTTCTTTAAGTGAAGGAAAAAAAATTCTACCTGACAACGCCGCAGGTTTATATCATGTGACGTCACTGCCTTCTTATCGTAAAAATACTTTAGTCAATTTTACAATATGTTTTTGAATATATTTATATATATTTTATTGCATATTTAAAAATGTAGTTAATTTAATCTTAGGTTAACTTTACTAATTAAATCATAATATATAATAGTATTAAAATTTAATTTTGGTGCAAAATATACCTATATCATTTTCAAAATAACAATACAAAAATAAATTTTCTTACAGGAATAGGTTGAGGATCACTTAGATGTGGTCTAAGGTGCTGAAATATTTCTGGTAAATCATCAGGTACATCATAAGGGTGAGATTCTATGAAAGCACACAGCCCCAGCACAGCAGCGTGCTTCACTTTTATATTAATGTTAGATGAATCTTCCTTCTTACTGCGTCTGTATCTAGCTTTTTGTTTAAATTGTGTCTAAAAAAATAATCATTCAGTTTTAGTGCTACTACATAAATACATTTTTAAAACAATGGGTCGAGTAAATTTAGTGTTTTCTATATTTCATAAGAATCTTCTAGAAATGGATAATTTACAAATTTTGTTAAAATTATTAAACGTGAACAAAAAAATATGAACTTACTAGCAATTGACTGGGTTCTGGAATGAATTGGCAGTGTAAAAGACCACTTAAAACTTTCCCAGCTTGAATTCTAACTTCATGCTGGGCATCTTCCAATAGTTCTAATACTACTGATTGTATCTAAAAATGAATATAATTTACATTGTCTATTGTATAGAGCTACGAAAAATGTTTCTAAAGTAGGTCTTGGAAAAAATCACGAATGTCGGAGAGTTCAATTCGTCTTCGTTTTAAATGGTAGATTTAATTCAGAGGCTTGCATACTTATCATGGATATGAATCTTATCTTTATTTTTTATTCTATCTCAATGCAACCTGTCCACAGGGTTGCCATGCCATAATATCTCATTACCCACGGGCAGCATTTTGACAGATCGTTGGAATAACTAATTCAAGATGTCTAAAAGTTATTGTAGTCGAATAAAATCAGCGTTCAATTGTAACAAAAATATTTTCTGCGTAACACTAAATGAAACCTACATAGTTGTGTTCCTTATATAATTTTCCATTAACAATACGTCTTATCTCAGTAAATATTTGAGGTATCGATTTGATTTTTTTTTTAATTAAAGTAAAAACATGAGCGCCTCTAAAATACTAAGAATTAGAAATTTCCATCTTACAACATTTATGCAGAGTAAATTTCGATATACGACAAATTTTTTTAATTTTGAAAATATGTCGATATATATTTCAAATAAAGAAAAATATTGTAAAACGTTTTTGGAGATCTATCATTTATAGTTCAATTTATGATTTTTATAACACACCGTCGGGGTAACGCATAGGCAATGGATAGTCAAGCCACGAGTAACTACGCATTATGAGCTAAAACATGAGAGGAACTACATCTGTAGTTTATTTTTATTCCTATTTTATACATTCAATATTAAGTGTCAGATGCAGCTGCTGATTTTTCTTTTTCTAATTCTACGATAGTGTTAACACAATTCTTGAACTAGCATTTTATAGAACATTTTATACCTCCTTTTACATAGTTACATCTATTACTATTAGTTTTTATCTGACAACAAAAGTGATAAAGGCAGTCTCACAATGGTCTTTGTGGAATCTCCAGCTGTATTTTTTTTTTTGGGCCTTCGACGTTAATGTTTATGTTAATGTGAATATAATGACATATTTTTTATTGGTTCATACATCTAAACTTTGAAAAAATCGAATGCAATTATATGTATAACAGGATATGAATTTGAATATAAACCTTTGTAAATGCAATTTGTCTGTAGGTGGATTTGAGTAGCTGGCCGATTCGTGTTTTTGATCAAAAGAGTCGTATAATTCACTTAATGTTCAGACTCCTTTTTGTTTATTTTTGCATAAATATAAAATGCCTGTTCCAAGGATTTATTTGGCAAATCATATATCCTTATTTTACAAAAAAAGGTGCCTTAGAAATATATTCCATCTGAAAATACCAGATAGTTGTAAAGATATTTTTATTCAAAAAAAATTAACCACAGTGTGCTTATATATCTTGGAATCGATTATATTTATCAAACAAAATTACGATATGTTTAAGATCAACGAAGTTGAACATATCTATAATACCAGATCAATACGCACCCTAAAAACGGACATCCCAAGATATATATAAAAATATGTAGAATATTTTATTCAAAAGATTTAGAATAAGATGCCTTCTGCACTAAAGACTTTAGAAACCAGACCACTGAAATTAAAATTAAAGTCATTCCTGTGTGATAAACAACTTCTGTGAATCAGTAATTATATAAAATATTGATTATTAGAACAAAAAAAATGTATATTATATAAAAAATGTGCTTAATGTGTATTTATATATAAAATGTATATTTGTGTACTATGACATGCTCTACACCTGTAAAGGTATTTTTTCGAGTAAATGAAGATTTATTTATTTCTTCAGGTTGTCGAAGTGTTTAAATACAACAAGAGCGGTTTTATTTCCAATTTGGTAAAAGACACTGGTAGTTTCATACCCAGTGAGACAGTGTATTGACAATAAACATTATAATACGTTTTTCATATAGCCTAACTGCATAATGAACAATAATTATTATATCGCTGCCCCAGTAGACTATCGACGTAACTGCAAATCAGTAAATTTTACAGGAGATGCAAAAAACGAGAAAGCTTTTTGAATTGCTGTTTCTAAAAGCTTAATTTACCGATTATCATCAATACATGGTATTAGACTACATAAGATGCATAGTATGACGTAATTATAGTTTTTACTATTATTAAAAATTAAAACTGAAATTTGAAGTTACGCCTTTGTTTTATCGGAAAATATACATTTTTATTGAACTTTGGTAAATATAAACTGATGAAACTGATAAATTAAAACAAAACACTGAGATCAACAATAAAAAAACCTAGCCATCAATAAAATCATATAGCAAAAAAGTGCTTTTCGTTTAATTCATGGATCCAAACCATACCATCGATAATGACTGACTGGAAATTGCTATTAGATGTGATTGGCTTTTCGTAGGTTTCCAATTTCTTAGTTAGTTTTTCTTATAGATTCATCTTCGCAAAATGTCGATGAGCTATAAGATATTTCTCACTCTCTCATTCAAATTATTAAAAGTAAAACACATAGTTCATATGTCGAAAGCACTAATAATTGTTTGTCGGCGGTATATAGATAAAGAGGGAGTTTTTAAAGTACACCTATTCTGCGGATTAGTGTAACTCTTTCTGCATGCATTCTGATAATATATCATCCCTTTTGGACAAAATATCTTTACTAGAAGAGTCCAACCGTTTTTCTGCAGCTGAAATAATTGTCAACCCCCCATGTCGTCTAGGCTTATCTATAACATCTTCCTCATTTTTGTTTAGTTTTTTCTTTTTTTTTTAAATATCACACTCTATATTTTAAATATATACACTTAACGCATGTACTTTTAACACTAAGAACCTATGTGAAATTTATTCTCTAGGCATCCACTGAAAACACTACATGCTACTAAATTGCTTCCATTATTATTGCAACAGCACTTATTGCCCAGACAAGTCGAGACCCTCGCAGAGAGACCCATACCAGAAAAAAAATCATAACATACTAACTATGAGGCCAATAATTCTTTTACAAAAAACTTTTCAGAACTCTTCATTTCAATCGCAGCATAGACATATTTTCAAAAATAAAAAAGTTTGTCCCATGTCGAAATTTACTCTGCATGGAAGATGGAAGATTTTAATTATTTTCGATAAAACAATTAGGATATCTTAAAATATTTAGTACCTTTGGAGGCGCTCATGTTTCTATGTCAATTTAAAAAAAAACTCAAATTGTTGCCTCAAATATTTACTGAGATACCTATGACGTTTTAATTGTTAAAAACCAACTGTTTCATATAAATGCAAAATTTTTCATTTTTCAAAAATAAAAAAGTTCTGCACAGACCGGAAATGTTGTAAATCAAAGATTCATGTTGAAAATAATACAAGGAACACAACCATATAGTGTTTATTTGGTTCTACGCCAAATAAATATTTTTTCTTGAAGAAATAAGCGAGTTAGTGGTCTAGATTTACTCTACTATTGGGAAGATATAAAAATTTCGTTTTTTTTTTAAATTTCGATTTCTCTAATATTATAATGGAGAGAGCAGGATAAGTAGGTGTAGAAGAAGGCAAAGGGGAGGAACAGATGTCAACGAATTTAGAAAAGGTTCATAAGTTGAAAGACGAAGAGACAAGAGTATAGAAGATAAAAAATTTATTGTTGTATTTTGTTAAAAATGCAATGTATCACTTGTCAAGTGATGCAAAGAAATGATAAAAAAATATAAAGCTGATTGTTCAGCTTATGTATATAACATCATGACAGATGACGAATCTGGGATATATTCATAGAAGTCTGAAACCAAACAGTAATCGACTGTATGGGTGTTCCAAAACAAAAATATTGCTTTTTTTAGAAAAATGGGCCATATTGCAACTGTTGCATTAGAGGATAGAAGCACAAATAAAGCCGACCAGTATACTTCAATTTGTTTGTCAGAAGTCATCGCTGAAATCAGAAGAAACAACGTAAACTGGCGAATCAATCTTCATCATGAAACAAGTACTCACAAAGGACAACAAACTGCCGAATTTTCGACCAGTAACAACATCCAATAAATGACTCATTAAGACATATTAAGAATAAAATTTTCATCGCCTGAAACCGTTGAATCATTTAAATCACTTGTTTCAGATGTACCTTGCTCAGAGTGGAAAAAGTTTAAAGATTGATTTCATTGAATGCAAGTGTAAAGGTTTAAAAGGCGAATATTTTGGGAACATAATTTGTGTTTTGTTTCCACAAACTTTAGCAGTGCTGCTCCTATTATAAATGGATTTTGAATGATTTCTATAAAATATTCGTTTTGAAATCATAGCTGAAAGTTGACATTTTCCACGATTTGTTTTTATTAACACATGTTTGGTCTATAAGATGTATATACTCACTTCTTTCACCCACTCCAGCCTGGAATTGATGGCTGCCATATTATAAAATATATAAATGGGCAAAAATTCCGCTATGATGGCTCTCGCCGACCACGACGGGCTTTTTGCAACTCGTCTTATAACGTCTATAGCTTCAGGAATGTATTTCGGGGAAGTACCGGTTTCCGAAAGTACTACCAATAGATTCGTTGATAGCGTAGCTAACTCCTCATCGACTTCATTGTTTTGAAATAAGGCCGCCAGAGGGATTAGTTCGAGGAATTCTTTTCTAGCTGAATAGTTCATTCGTACCATGTACGTCATGACGAATTTTGAAACTGGAATATTATTTTAACAATTGAAGGAAATTTATTACGAAACATATGAACAACTGTTTTAATTTTAATGAAAATATAAAATCAAACTATTATTTTTTTACAAATTTTCAGAAATAATAAAAATTATTTTGACTTTAAATTATAAAGAAAAACAAAGATACTTCAATATTATTTTACATTAAATTACATTTAATAATTTTAGCATGACGATGAAAGACTGATGAATATTACCGCAGATTTCTGTTACATTTTTCTTTTTAAAAGTCTCCTTACCTATTTTAAATAACCTAATAAGAGATTCCTTTTCGTCATTTGTATCTGCTTCTACAGTAGTTCTATCATTTTCTATTTTGGCCAACGATGTTTCTAATAATTCTTGCATTTTCGGTGAAACAATCTCAAAAAATTTCCTAAAAAAATGCAATACGGTAACAGACCAATTCATATGCAAACTATTATGTGTAATAGAGCTTTCATAAATTAAATAGTAACAGTGAAATAAAAAAATTAATAAAATTATCAAACACTTACTTCATCCTATCACTTTCATCTCCTTTTCCAGAGCTTATTTCATGTCCTGCATTACTGAAGCTGATCGCTAATAAGGCCGAAATTCTTTCTCTTATATTTTTGAAGGGATGAGTCATATGCGGCCTGAGGTATTCCAAGAGACGTCCAGAAATTTCCGTATTTCTCCATGACTGTTGACTAATTGCTATGAAGAGTAAGTGTAGGCGAGTACAAGCCACGAGTATCGTCGGGTCTTTCAGGGGATCCTAAATGAAAAGTTATTGTTTATTTATGACTATATTCATGTCAATTATCATGAAAACTCATGTTTGATTAAAATCGGGATATGTATGTTTTTTTTTATGAAATACAATTATTATAAAGTTTCTTTATAATATTCTTAGCATTTCACTATTTCTTTTAAGGACGGGGTATCCTTGTATATAAAAACCATTTGTGTAAAACAAAAGTTAAATCGACTGATTTCCAAACATATATTTAAAAATCTAATTTTAAGCCAAATTAAAGATAAAGTTCTAACTTAGGTCGTCTTACTAATGAAAATTGATAAATTTATTATTAACATAAAAACCAATCATTTAAAATAACCCCATTTCATTTCAACTCGAAGATGACGTTTAACAGTATTTTATTCACAATTTCAAACAAATAAGAAAAATAAATAGTAAGACGACCTAAGTTCAGCCTTGTATTACGATTATGGTCCACTTGAGATATAGAAATGGCAGCCGTTTTAATTGATTTGTTTTATATTAACATAAATTATGTTATGATCCGAACACATTTTAGAAACTTTTAAAAAGAGTAATTTTTTGTTTTAAAAACTTGTTTAGCTAATTTAGAAGTGTAAACATATCATGTCACCTTAATGAACATAGATTACCTACAACAGAATTTATTATATTTTTATAGAAAAGTCCAATATGTATATAAAAAAGGTAATAACAAATTATTTTAATAAAAAATCTCAACATATTAAATAAATAATAGCTCCTTTTTCTTTTTTAGTAGTTTATACTGTGTATATGTAAATAATTATGCGTGTCTGGAAATTACACAAAATGACAGTCAAAATTACATTAAATCATTAAGCAAGTACCTATACAGGAAAAGTCAAAGAAAAAAATTCAGTTTTTCAACGATTACAAATATATTTTTTCAATACTTCAAAATCACAATTAATAATATTCTTGACTTGAAATTAGAGGCATCCTTTTGAATATAAACCAAATTATATATTTTAGGAACTATACTCTGTTTTTAAACTAGGAAGAGCGAATTAAAAAGACGCATTTACACAGGGAAAAGTTACTAGATTTTTTACTAAGAGCGTGTTCCGAAATATAGTCGTGTTCAAAATTTATGTAATAGTTATTATCGGCCCTAGTCGGCGAACAGCCAATCAGGGATTAATGAACAAATACATGTCATAGGAGTCGATTTTTTATTGGTTCCAGACAACGGTCGTAAAAAAGTGTGTCTAAAACGAATTGTCACTGTCAAATGAAATTTAAATGGTCGTTGATTTGTTTTAAGAAATATGTTTTTCTTACTTTTGAAATCGACTTTTTGGGGAGTGCGATTTTTTTGAATGGATACTGAATATTGATGAAAATTGTTAAAAGAATATCAAGATGCAGGTTAGTATAAAACATAGAAATATGATCGTTTTACATTTTTAATGATTTATTTGTTACAGGTATAAAATTAAGTAGAAGGTAATCAGTGAATGGCAACTGGATTACACAGTGACTGGAATTTATCCTATGACTAATATGGACATTGTAGTTAATTTTGTGTTAACCCATAGTTAATACGCTACATAACACTACATATCAACATTATATCATTACTAAATTTTAACTTAATAAAATTGTAGGTCCTTTTAACTGAAGTTGTAATTTTTACCTATATTTTTTAATTTAAAGTGAACTAATCATACATACCTATGTGTTAATGTTAAGTGGATATTTTTAAAATATTTATTGTGGAAGTAATGTTAGCTCATTATGCTAAATTAAGATTATCTCGAATGTAGTAGATGGTGTTTTAAATCTGAATAAACAATTTTGTAAATTGTCTAATAAATAAAATTTACTTGAATATTTAGTTACTTTTTAATCAGTTTGGTAAAAAATTATCAAGTTTTAGTTTTAAAAAATCAGTAATAAAGTTGTTAATTTTTTCTGGAATACTTCGGAATTCATCTCTTCATGGTAATCTCCCGTCTTTTTGCCTTTAAAACCAATATTGTATTTTCTACAAAATCCTCTTCTGAATCAGCATGTAAAATAATAAGTCGTCTTCCCTTTCTTGTAGGGCTTTTCAGGAACTGCTACCATTAATAGTACTCTGTGAAGAAGAATCCATAATCGTAGAAATTCAATACAATTGCTTACTGAAGTTTTGAAAAGGACTATTATTTAGGAAATAAAGTAAAAAACTAAGTAATAATGATGAGATATCAAAATATAAAATGTCAGAACTGTCAACAATACCAATTACTATTATATAGCTGATGTTAATGCTAAAAAGTGATGTGTGAAACTGACTGTAATCTGACCAATCAGAAGCCTACAGAATTGCCAACTTAAATTCAAATCGCTCCTCCTAGTTTAAAAACAGAGTATAGTATATTTATTCTTGAGGTAGTAGTCTTTAAATTTTTGTATGAAAATTGTCTTCATCTTTTTACAAATATTGTTAATCTTTTACAGCAGGGATTCCCAACCTTTTTTTGTGTTGTGTCTCCCTAGATTATAAAAATATATTCATGCCCCTCCCCCCTTACAATTTTTTTTATTGTTATAATAAAAAACTCATCAGTTTCACTACATTTATTTCTCAACAGCAAGTATAATCAAATAAATTAAAACTTTGGTGTTCACCCCTAAAAATAATTACGTATTTCTCATAAAAAATTAAATAATAAAATTGTGTTAATGCGATATTTGCGCCTGCATGATCTGAACCAGTTGTTTGATGTTGGCTGTAGTTTTTGCCAGGGCAATCGTCAAGTCGCTATGGACGGCAAGACGATTTCGCTGCTTCTTTTTGATTTGAACCAATGCTGAAAAACCTGTTTTACATAAGTTAGTCGAGGAAAACGGCACAATTATTTGCAAAGCATGATGTGATTTTTGGATTAAGGAGGAAACGTTTTATCCAAAACTTCTCCAATTTCAAGAGGTGGAAGTCATCATTCATGGTAGAATCAGCCTACATTTCTAGAAATTCTTCCTGAATATTTTCTGGTAATTGTAAGACATCGACCACAAATGAATTTCTAGTTATATGCCATATTGGTGATTCTGAATTAATGTCGCTATAATATCGTTAAAATTCGTGTTTTAACGCTTTCAAATGAGGTGCTATATCAGTTTTAACGTCTTCGTCCAGTCTTTTTAATTGTTCCCTGTAGTCGAGGAAAACATATTACATTTCCAGAAATTGCTTTTTGGGACCAAAGTTGAAGCTTTGATATAAGGCCCTGAATATGATCCTGAAGCTTCAAATTTAATTGATTCAAGACTTCAAATACATCACTCAAATATGCCAATCTCCATTAAAATTTTTCATCTTTGAACATTTGCAGAAAGTAATTCTTTTCTTTAAAATTGAGAAATAGGATGACCTTAGACAACCAGCGTACTTCTGTGTGGAAAAAAAGAACTTTGTGATTAGAATCAAGAAGTAATGTAAATAATCGACTGTTCAAAGCACTGCTTTTAATGTAGTTCACAATTTTTATTGCCAAGTCTAAACTCTGTCGTAAATTCTGAGGCAATGTTTTTGAGGCCAAAGCTTGGCGATGAATAACACAATGTGTGCTAACCAGGGTGGGATTCTTTTTCTTTAGCTTTTGAGCTAAGTCAGATCTTACACCTATCATAGCGGGGGCACCATCTGTGCAGAGTCCAATGAGCTTTTGTGAGAAATTGTGCACAGTTAACGATGTCTGTAGATTCATCGCAACTTATAGCAAAAAATGGTGACAACTTTACTTTGTTTATAATTTTTAATTTTATGTCTGCAGCTATATCATCGATTCTACGTTTGATTGTGTTGTTTGAAAGATAAACTGACCTCATTTTTTGTTCTGATTCTTCTACTAGCATTATTTGTGTGGTTTTTAATATACATGGCTTGATCAACTCTTCACCAATGGTGTGAGTTTTTTTTTGCTTCGCTATTAAAAAAGCTATTTCATAGAAATAAGTTTTGAAATGTAGTGACACATTTTTGTGATAACATCATAGTTGGATGTTGTTAGTTCAAATGTCTTTCAAGGCGAGTGGGCCTCAGAGCGTCATTACTCAAAACTTTTAGGCATATCACACACTGAGGCAATTGCATTCCGTCTTTTTCAATAAATGTAAATCCAAATTTAACGTAGTCTTCTGAAAACTTTCTCTTCTTTGCTGCCATTTTCTGCTAATTATTTAATATTTAATTAATTTAAATAAGGGATTTAAATATTACCCTACCTTTTAATAATAAAAAGTGTTGCAATTAAGAACAGTTCACAAACTTTCCGTGAATAAACAAAAACAATAAACAAATTTGAAAACTAAATGAAACAGTCGCGCAGGTAGAATTGTTTTCTGCCTAGCTGTAACCTGACTCAACTTGACTGATCGGATCTCGGAATCTCAGTCTCAGATCGGCAGAGACATACGCAGGCGAGGCGGGCGGAGTGGGCAAAGTGCAGAGACGCGATGTTGTCAATGGTCTCGAACGCTTCATTCGTGACATTTCACTTTATCATAAAATATTTCCTCAAAAGTTTCGATAACATATACGGCATTTTGATTTGTCATACTTTTATTAAATAATTTAAGAGTGGATTTAAGAGTTCAAATAGATTTTTCTTCAGAATGTCCGAATACATTGGGCCCCCTTATAATTTCTTTACGCCTCCCTAGGGGGCGCGCACCCCCCTGGTTGGGAAGTCCTGTTTTACAGTATCCTGATGATGGCCTAAGGGCGCAAGCGCTAGACAATTTTTTTAATAAATGAAGGAGAAATTAACGAATAATTTCTCTCATCATTTAGGCATTCCAAACAAAATGGCTACCAGTGGGTTCTGACAGGTTATATGGCAACCCTGTAGGCCTGGTGATTTGATAAGGTCAATGCAAGATAGTTACATAGATTGATCAATGATCATCCATATTTTTCAAAATAAACATAAGTAAAAATGTAGGTAATTATTTTTACTATGTTCAAAGTCTGAATATTGGTTTGTAAACACATTTTTACAGAATCGATTCTGATTAATGAGCACTTGGGAGACAATATGGCCGCTCGCAAACGAAACGCTTTGAAGAATCTATATAACTATATATGTATCATTGACCCTGTCGATGACAACAGGCTCACAGGGTTGACATATCTAAAATGTCAGTTCCCACTTGTCAGCAGTTTGACAGGTCATTGGAATGCTTAATACACACTTTAAAATACACTTTTAATTCTCTTTCGTACTATAATTTTTGTATTATAGGCCAGATGATGGCGCTGCTCGTCAGTTATTGTAAAGGTGGGTCAAATTGTGGTGGGTAGTGCCGCTGATAAAGCCGCCCCGGGCCCGCACTGGAAAATATTTTTGGAGGGTTACACACAAACTATTGTTTACTTTTTTTTATTTTTGACTTTTAAATAAAGCAAATAACAATTAAAAAAAGTAAACAACTTTAAGCAAAGCGTTAGTTTTTATTTTCATGAAACTATGATATATGAGATATATTGCATTTTAAGTGGTCGGCCGTCGACAATTACTTGTCCCTTTTCAACTTCACAGCGAGTGCAATGCATTTTTTCTTGTGCATTGCCTTACAACTCATGAGGTCAATTTAAAATAGGGCCCAGCTGGGCCAAGCACGCAGCGGATAGGAATGAATTGTTATTAGACATTGGTAATAATTGGGGAGTTTTTGCATGAAAATGTAATTGTACTTTTTTTAAAGATAGTTTATTATTAAATATTTAAAATTGTTTGCATTAAATTAGGTGCGCATTGACCAAATGACTTTATGGAGAAGCGGCGCCTTCAATTTTGAATAAAAAAATATGTAATTTATTGGAGTTTTCTTTATTCATTTGAATAACATTGGAGACATAATCTTATATAAATTTAACACATTTTTTACTGTTTCATGATTTTTTTTATAATTTAATATGTAAACTTTATTTTTGTAGCTAAAAGTACTCACCTGTAAAAAATATTCTAATAGCCAATGATGCCTATTTGGATCTCTGGATTCTAGACCCATCGTAACACACAATGCCCAATCGGTTTGCGTCTCTGTTGAAATATTAGTAATGGCTTTTTCTAACAAGGGTATCAAGGTAGCCCAAAGTTTTTCTATTTTCTCGTACTCCCAATGTTTTGATCCTCTGATTATCCCGCTAATAATTTCCGCGGCACATCTTTGGCTCGATTCTAGCTTGTCTTCAACTAATTTTTCCAAGTGAGGTACGAATTGTGACAAAAGTCGGTCTTCAAATATCTTAAATAAATTCTGCAAACAAAATTTTAAAAAGTCAAATTAGTACACGTTACCTTTAAATTTACCCACATGTAAAAACATAAAGTTAGGAACGTCATTATAATGAATATCCAAAGGAGTTGGACTAAGAGTTAAAAAATAACGAAAAACATTTCATTATAAAATACCTTGAAAGCAAAAAACCTGTAAGGATTGAACTGGTCTCGACCTTTTTTCTCTTCTAATGACAAAAATTTGATTAATTTCTTTATATTGTCAGCGTTATTGAAAAAATCGTAAATATATTTTTCCATTTCTGTCAAATTGTTCATTCTTTTTGATGCTGTTTCTTGTTTAGAGGGCGAATCGTACACTTCTACTTTTTTTGGCCATGCGTAATATCCTGTATATTGGTCATGTATATATCTAAAATAAAAAATGATCATTTTAATCCTTCAAATTAAATTCGATGTATGTTGTACCGCGAAAAATTGGTAGAAAATAAATATTGCTATTTTTTTAGTTAATAAATTTTCAGACTCTAATTTAATTTTCTTGAAAAATTTAGCATAAATGCGTATTTCCCAATTCTATTTAAACATTTTATTTATTGGAAATTAAACACTTTTTAGTAGCATTTTTTAAGTGAATGCTTTTACTTAATTTTTATTCGTACTGCATTTTATTTTGATTGAAAAGATTAAATCAGAAGATTGAACTTTTGCGCATCCCGCAAAAATGGTTAACTTGCACCTACCTAAGTTCATCCCATTCCTTTTCATTTCTTGGAATATTCTGGCTATTATAAACTAAACATTTATTATCGTCTCTTATACCAGGCGTTATTTTACTTAAAATCACAGTAGTTTTTGATAGTTGCTGCGGATCTATTTCCACCTTCTTGTATTTAGTTTTATTTTGTAAAAGTATGTAAACCAGAATTTTTATAGACGTTTTTCTAACTAGAAGCGAATCGTCTATGGACGATTTGAGGAAGAATTTTACAACTCTTGGTCCGTACTTTACGTCAAAATGCACTAGATCTTTGATGAAATTAATCGCCATTTGGTAATAGCGCCAATGCCTGTAAAATATGTATTATATAATTATTAAATAAAAACAAGTTTGTTAAGCTTACAAATTCCCCGATTCTAAGGCATCCATGAGTGATTCTAACGTTTTATCATAAGCAACTCGCCGTTCGTCGCTTTTTCTTTTCAAATAAGCCTCACCATTTGCCGCTAATTGTTCATATTCTTTCAACTTCTCGAGCGGTTGATTTTGCGCTAAGTTATAAGCAGCTTGAATAACGCTTGTGGGAATTATCAGTTTAATGGCAATAGTGGGAAAGAATTTGTCAATAGCTTCACCCAACGCCATAATTAAGCTGATTATCGAAGGTTTTTCCGAGGGCATAGATTTTACTAAAAGGGGCCATAATTGTTCGATAAATTTCCAATCATGTCTAGCGATAATTGGTGCAGTTTTTGGACCTAGTAATACAATATTAGTGAAAAACAAGAAATGTTTATGGGAAAATCTAATAATTCTTACCCAGTAGAATGTAGAGACATCCTTTAAATTTTTCATGATTCTGTTCTGAATCCAATTGAAGAATATCTTTGATTTTGTCTGTAAGAACAGTATATGAATAGGGAAAGTAGGATACGATGCAGAATAATTTGCATTGAGCTGCTATTCTGACCTAAAAAAATATATAATGTTAATGGAACAGAACAACCTTTGACGAAAATATATTATGAGAATACAAAACAAACGTTTTACAACCTGCCACCCCGTTTTTGATTTGACAATTTTAAAGACGTCTGACACATCACCTCGAACTACATAATGTTTAAGAACTTATAGGAAGTTTTTCGTGATTTACAGTGTCAATCAACATGTCAACTATGTGTTACAGTGGTCTTCGCTTGCTTTATTTTAATAAACACATCCTACAGAACCAATCTATAAAACTAAAACTTTGCCAAAGCCTTGGATTTTAAAAATATATAGAATTGTTGTGGATTATCCTTGTTTAACAGTTGTTGAACGTAACTGTTTGCAAATTATGCAGATTCGCAAATTCGATCATATTTCCCATGCCTTCTCCCAAATTGGCTGGCTAACTGTTAATAATTTATATAAATTTATTTTCTTTTCTTTTTAAATAACTTTCTACTGCGTCACCATTATATATTATGAACAAATTAACTTTTATCAATGACTCGTCACTTTAGTGTTATTTATAATCATAGTGTTTCGTATAACACAGTTGTTTTGTACAACACTTTACACACCAATATTAAAAAATCACTATCTCTATCTGTTTTTAAAAATGCTTTAAAAAAGGCAACTAGTCAAGTGTAAACTGTTAGATATAATGAGCTACTAATACCAAATTGTATAGATAAACTTAATTTTATAGTTATTTAAATGTATTTTGTTAGGATTAGGTGTAAAAATAGCCACAGGCTAAACCTCGCCCATGCTAATTGTACAAAAATGTTACTATTTTGTGCAAATAAAGACCCGTTGTTATTATTTTGTGCTGTCACTTTAGAAAATGCGTTTTTCCGATCATTTTGTAGCTCGGAAAGTGCGTTGTTGCCGGTCTAGATCGGAAAATTGACACAACTACTCGGCAAAGTACCTACTTTACCGAGCTCTTATGTCAAAATTTTCATTAAAGACAAAATACCAGCGTCTAGCCAGAGATAATTTTTAAAGGGTATGTTAAATATCACAGTTGCCATGAAAATACCGTAGCCATCTGTCAGTAGATCTTAATAATAAATGAGTTAAGTTTTGTTATAAATTTTGAGCAATAAATATTCTGTTCCTATATTATTGTGAAATTATTGGTGGCAGCACAAAAAATATTGTAGGCGCCATACTCGGAAAGTTTATTTACAGGGCTCGCATGCTGTAAAGTATCACTTTTCGAGCTTGACTCGTAAATAACTATTATTATTATTATTAAATGGCGTTTGCAAGATCTAAGAATAATGCAATACATTTTTTATTATCTAAATTATTTATTTCTCTAATAACAGTACATATTGCATCAGATGTTGCTTTACCAGTTCAAAACCCAAATTGGTGTTTAAGAAATATATTATTGTGGTCCAAAAATGTTATTAAACGATATTTTAAGCATTTTTCAAACATTTTTCCAAAGTTACTAATTACTCCTGTAATTAGAGATTTTCTTCACCTGCTTTGTAGATAGGTTTAACAAAAGAGGATTTAAATTGCGATGGGACAATACTTTTTTTTCAAAAATTAAATTTAAAATATGCTTTAGTGGTTGCAAAATGAACAAGTGCGGTTTTTTGAAATAAAACTTCTTAGGTCACAATTCGAAATTTGACGAGTAGGCAGTGGTCCGATATTTGGCGAGAATTGAAAGTGAAATTTCAAGGACATGTAACGTTACACCTGTAACGCATGTACCCATAGTAACGTCACGAAATTAAAAGTACATCTTGAGAGTTTATATACGATTTTGAAAGATACAAGGCGGAGCGGAGCAAAGTTAATTGGTGTGGAGTTGAGACGAAGCGGAGCAAATGGAGTAGAGTGTAGTGTGAGTGCGGTAGAGTGGGTGGAGTAGAGTGGAGGGGTGAGGGGTAGACTGAAAGTACAGTAGGGTAGAGTGAAAGTATAGTGGGATAGAGTGAAGTAGAGTGGGGGTAAAGTAAGATAGAGTGGTGTAAAGAGGGGGTAGAGTAAGGTAGAGTGATGCGGAGTGGAGTAGAGTGAAGGTAGAGTGGGGTAGAGTTGAGAAGTTTTATATTCATGATCCAACTCTGAGGAGAAATGTTGGTTTAGTTGTTTTTTTAATCTTTATTGATACTATTATGCCATCCAAGGTTTGATTTTATTATTTTTTTTCAACTATTTTTTTAATACTGGTTTAAGATAACTGTTAAATTTATGAATGAGTAGATCAAAAGTGATTTGAGGGTCATTTGATTGTAAACAATCAATCCAGGCTTCAATTTTGAAGAATGTATAATAAAATTAGTTTTTGATATGATTTTTTATAGGGATTTTTTTTTGGATTATCTGGTTTATTAATATTTAAACGAATTGGGCAATGATCTGTAATGTGAGAGTTAAGTATATATGATTTATAAGTTTTCTTTATTATTGTAGGCTTTTTTCAAGAAAATATTATCTAGACAGAACAGTTTCAGGGGTAACACAGGTGGGGTTCAATATGTATGATACAAAACCGTATTTCGCAAGCATGGAAAGATATTTGTTTAGATTTATATCATTTTTTTTAAAGGTTAATATTAATATCGCCAATTAAAATTTCATATTTATTTAAAATTTATCAATAAATGAGTTCAAATTACTCGGGATTGGTATATACAAAGCGATTATTCTAAAAGATATATGATCAAATATCAGGTTTGTGACGCACAGGGTTATACCACATATAATTAATTTATTAACACAAATATTATAATTTAAATCAGATTTAATCATAACCAAGACCCCATCATTCCCGTTATAATCACCACCATTATGGATAGTTGTGAAAACAGGTATATTGAAGTTGTTTGAGGATACAGTTTGAAAACATTCACAAAAATATCACAAATAAGTAAATTATATATATTAATGAGTGCGAATAATTCATTAAAGTTTTTGTTAGCACTCCTAATATTAATATGCATAACAATAATTCTTTTAAAGATGATATTTTCTAAATGTATTCGTTCGGTTCTATAGGGCTACCACGATGATCTTGTTCGAGTTCCTCTAAAACTATATCTTGATCATTTATTACCATAAAATATTTGAATTAGTTTTAAAAGTAATGAATTTCTCAGTTACACCAAATATAGTAGTCTACTTAGAGTGATAGTCTATAGTATTTTTTAATCTGTTAAGAAAAATTTATATGTTGGACATTCTAGAATATATGCTTCATGATTCGCATCGTAATTTAATTTAAATTTTTAACAGAGATTAGACATTTTTGTTTTGAGCAATTAATTGCTGTAATGTGAGCCATTTCCGACTAATCTGGTCATGCTCTGATCCTGTGGAGTCCTCTGTCTTGTTTAGGTCTTTTTACGACTCCACTTGTCCTTAAAACCAGGAATATTTGATGAAGGGGATAAACCTCCTTTACCCAACTATAGGGACGCCTATGGTCACATATAGCCATCGGGAATGTACTAGAGCCCTTTATAGAATCAAATTCGAGAAATTGCCGGAGACGCCTTTCTAATAAATGGTAGTAGGAGAATAATCTAGCGCACACACCAATTTATATATAAAAAGGCTGTGTTGCACAGGAAGTCAGTCAGTCGAAGTCGAGTCATTGCAGTGAGAACATCGATAAAGTAATTGCGATATAAATTAGTATAAGTAAATGTGTTAAATAAATGGGACTTTTCATGAAATCTAATTTTTGGAATAGTCCGACGGACATGACCGGAAAAGTAGTGAAAAGAAATGAAAAGTCACGACGAAAAGTAGTCGACCTTGAGCATAGAAGACACATTTAAATCTCAATCCTGGATATTTTTCAAAACAGCTTTGGGAACAATATAAGCATGTGTATTTTCGTTTTTTTTTTTAGGCAAATCATTTGTAAAATATTTCCAACCTTTAGATTTTTTGTTTATTTAATAAGATATGAAACGAAAATATTAAAACATAAAAATCAGTAAACATTTGTTTTTTTTTTAATCTAAATTTTGCCTTTGTAAGAAATTCAGACGAATTTAGTTAATTAAATTTCGCGCATGCGCAATACACTTTTCCACTTTTGAAAAGTTTTTGGACTATTCCGCCGGGCTTATCCGTGGACTTCTCAGAGCGACCCATCATTAATATAAATAGTGCTTAAATATTAAATAAATAAACTATTTTAAAATAAACAATCGTTACATTACTTTATGTTCATCACCATAATAGATACAAATTAGTTTGATATTACACTGGTTTTCTTTGCGATTATAAGCGTAACATCTTCGATATGAATAAATCTTCATACACACGATATCTTTCATTTTGTATGTATACGTGTTTGGCGAACATAAATCTGGGTAAATTCTAATTACCAATTAACAAACAGTCTATTTCCCATTAACCTATGATCAGTTAAAATAAGAGTATTTTGTAAATTATCTTTTTTGTCATTAAAATTGAAAAATTTCTCAAAATTATTAACTTTGTATAGGGAATGCTAACTCAAATGAAACTTTAATTAAAGTACTTTTAAATGGTGATACAAAATACAGGGTGGTCTAATTGAAAAAAGTAGTGAGCTGGCATAAATGTTGACTAATTAGGCATTCCAAATAAAATGGCTGCCCGTAGAAAATGACAGGCCACTGACAGGTACATGATAGGTTATATTATGGCAATACTGTGGGCCTGGTGATTTAACAGGATCAATGTTATAGCTAGTTATACATAGATTGATCATCCATATATTTAAAAATATACATAAGTCTTGAAGTAAAAATGTAGGTAACTTTTTTTTACTGTTCAAAGGCTGGAAATTGGTTTTGAAACACATTAGCTGCGTTCAATGAGACAGCGATCCCAACCGATACCAATCATGTTCGTTCTACGATAGGTATCGCTTTTTATCGATCCGTATCATTTTGGAGCGTTTAATTTTTACGCTCCTTTCTGCTGCGATCGCGAAATTTGAGCGGGAAAGCTCATAAAAATAACCTAAAACTCCTAAAATCTATCGCTATTCGCGATTTCTTGAAAAATATAACTTTAACAACGTGGTTGTGCTTTACATAGTGATAAAAATTATAAAAAAAATACCTAAATGCAAAAATTATTGTATATTGTTGGTCAAAACTCCAAGTGACAAATAAACAAGTTCACTTTCAATTGCAAATTCAACTTTTCATTAACCAAGAATTGTCGTTCGACACAAATTTAATTAATTCAAATTGAATGTATGGAGGGTACCGTTCAGCAAGCTGATCATGCTACCCTAATCGCAGCAAGAATTCGATACACTCATTGAACGCAGCTATTTTTGCTAAACCGATTCAAATTAATGAACACTTGTCAGGGCGGCTATCCTCGACAATCGCTAAAAAAACGAACCGTTTTCGAAAGTGAGTGGTTGAAAAGCGAGTAGTTTTTGAAATCTATATTCTTGACTGACGTTCGATGAGTATTCGTTTTTTAAGACGTGTACGTTTTTAACAAGCAAATAATATGTCTGGCATCACTGTAAACTGTCTATATCGTTGAATTCAAGTAATGTGCAGGCCATAAAAGAATAAGGATTATGTAATTTAATTACAACAAACCAATTGTAAATTTGTCGAATGATTTTTTCTAATCACATAATATATCGATGTTCAGGATAAACTGAATCGTTAATTGGTGGCGTAAAAATAGCTATACGGGTGCAGTTAATGCAACCTATATTTCTAGTAAAATCGTACATCATAAAAACCTAGTTTTTATGGTACAACATTCATTTAACTAATAACTGTGCTCATCTTATTCAGTTCTTTAATATTTTGTGGCAATTTTACAAAATTGTAAAAATTTCTGGACACAACGTGTTATACAGAAGAGCTTTGAACTACCACTTGTAAGAAATCGCAAGCAAATTAACATTTGTAAATAAAAGATACATAAATTAATAATTAAATTCTTACACGGTAAGATATAAAAAATATTCATTCAATGTCAATTAAAATCAAAAAATGGATTCTGCCTCTGCAAGTCTGAATCTTTAAGCATTCTTATCTTCCAAGTTTTCTAATTGTACAATTATTGATAATATAATTGAAAGAAATTCTCAGCTATTGGACTTTTTTAGTACTGCAAACCATATTTATAATTAGATACTCTTGTAGGTATTAATAAAAAGTAGTTTACCAAGAATTTGTTTAAATCAATCAATATTATTAATCATCGTGACATATAAGTGACATTGACTAAATCCTTGAAAACATGCACGTTTTATCAAAAACGTGTGAAAAATTCCGCTCGCTGTAAAACCCCCCTTTTAAAAGCGTACACGCTTTTAAAACGAATGTCGAGAATAGCGAATAGCCGAGGATAGGGCCCCTGGATATGGCCGCTCGCAAACGACCCGCTTTGAGCAATCTATATGACTATATATAATGACAACAGGCCTACAGCGTTGCCATATTGCCATATCTAAACTGTCAGTTCCCACTGGCAGCATTTTGACAGGTCATTGGAATGCCTAATATCGAAAACCTTCTACCGCAAAAACTGGTTTTCAATTGTTTTTTGACAGGTTATTGAAATCAATAAGATTTTCATACAAAACTGCTTATAGCGTGTGTAATACCCTATATAATCTCATACTATTTGGTATTGTTATATTAGAAAAAGCGAGCACAATTCAAATATCATTTAAAAACACCTAGCTTTGATACGTATCACTTTCTTGGAAAACCCTGTATAATTAAAATTATTTTTAAATTATTGTCTTTTCTGATATACATCTTGTTGTAAAAACATTTAAAAAAAATCATATAGTTTTGGCTCTACAAACCGAGGCGTTACCGGTGGCTCATCCTGTTTATACAAAGAACTTCTAATGGCCTCTCAATAAATTCTTTACTCTTGTTTGTTCTAGTACGAAAAATACAGATGTTATGTTGAAATAGCTCAACATAAGTTTCTGAGATGCTGAGCATATAAATTAGGCGTGTAAATAATTACTATTATTATTGTGCTGACCGATGTTCCAGATTAGAGATTTCAGTACAAAAAAAATATAAAAATCGGTTTGGCAAGCTGAAAAACTTGTTTTTATCATTCATTACAGCAAAATTTCCTTTACATTTTAGTACACAAAACAAAAAAAAATTTAATATTCGTCTTAGTATAGGAAAATTTAAGTACTTTGATAAGGTAAATTTGCGTGTTATCAATGTGTATTTATTTAAACTTAATACCGACACCTGTATACAAAACAAACTAAATATTATTTTACTTCACTGTATCTAGACGTGCTCAACTCAAACAGATCCAGCAATATCATTTTGTGAGTTTCGGAAAATGAACAATTTCTACTTTCTATGCGGAATTCTTGTTGCAACATAACTCTGTCTATAAGGACGTGGCGCAAATGAAGTTTTTTCTGGTGAAGACGGTCCTCGAGCAGTTTTTTTGTCATGTGGAAACTCTTCCAGTGAAATTCAAAGTCCTGTCCTCTGGTTTTGTTGAATAGAATTATGTTGTAAATCTAAAACAAATATTTCGTTTTTATCTGGTAATCTAATAAATTATTGACTGATAAAAAAAAAGGATATTAATTGCTATACACCAGACTAACCATGGTTTGATCTGTTTTTTTACAAAGATGTCAAACTTCGGTGCTACATTTTTGGAGTGGGTGAGAAGTAATCCTTCAATATGGGTACCCTTGACTTAACACTATGTCGTTTTAGCACAGGTTAGTGAGAATTACCAAAGTCGAGTACGCTCTATTTCTCAGGAAGGTCAGTTGAAATCGGAGAGCAAAGAAAATATATTTCCTGAGACAGGTAGGTACGCGGCTCTCTGTCTCACAGAATGGCTTAGGCTTGTCTGAGGGTAGCAATTATGTGCGAGGTTCGTCGTCGAACGTAATTAAGTCTGTGGTTTCGTCATCTAAGTCTGACTCTCCATGGTAAAAGGGATAGTGTCTAAGACTAGAATTACTAGTGTGATATGAAAATAACACACTGTACCGAAGTCACTAACTTTTCCTATATTTGTAATATTAAAAATGTTTCGTTCAAGTTCATTTCCGCCCATTAGAGTTCTCAAGAATCTCCGTAATTTTTATTTCTTACAATTCCCATTTTGAACATTTGCGAGAACTCCTGAATTTCAAAATATATAATTCTTTGCTAAAAATTCGAATTCAACTTTAAATGTTCAAATTCATGTAAATTATCTGGTCATTTTCGCAGATATCGAAAGGACATTTTTTTTTTCAGTCTTTCGATTTGCAAATATTGGCTACTCCCACTCGGAAACCAAACTGGTCCGAGCGTAAAGTATAAAGCCTGGCTTCCCGCGATTTCTTTATGTTTTACAGTGCCGAATTTCCGAATTATTATTGTGTAGTCCCTCAAAGGAATACAGTCCTTTTTTTATTTTTTCACCGTCTGTAATAACTTTTCTATTAAGATTTATTTTATTGTTCTCCTGATCGACCGTCGCGTGGTAAATATTAGCAAAAAAATAATTTGTTACTAGTCAGAGAAAATTAATCTTTACTAGTCCCGCATTTTAGGATTTCTGAACTTTCGTAAGATAGGCTAGTCAAGTTTTATCGCAGTCTGGTTTTAATGACGGAACTTCTTAAAGCCGAAATAATAATTAACTTTGTACGGAATACCATTTTGTGAGTTCTGAAGTTATGTAAGCGAAGCAAGTCCAGTGTTAGCGCAGTTTTATTTATTCTATTTTATTTTATCTACTTAATTTATCAACATCCAAGGTTCCTACAGTCAATAGACCCTTTGCTATTCCGGCAATCAGTGAAATCTTTGATTCACTGTATACCGTCAATGAAGAGCTAACGTTGCCCCTTTATTAGTCACTGTAATAATTTGTATTAAACCGAATCCTTTTGAAAATAATCACTTTTCACAAGAGTGTGAATCCGCTTTGATGTTCTTCGCCTTGAAAATACGAGGCTTATACGATCATGTCATTGTCAAATGGGTAAAAATCGTACTTTACGGCGGTACGGGGTCAAATCAACTTCGTACATTTTTTTGTTAAAAATTCGGTTAGAGGATTTGATCGCTACCAATAACATTAAAAACCATAAAAAAAAAAATAAATTATAACCTTAGCAGGTAAAGAAGTTTTTATACATTTTAAGTCAGCCCAATGGGAAGTTTAATGACGGGATCATTAAAATCTCGTTCCATTAAATGTTAAATAGAAAGTTATTTAAAGAATGTTCCCGCTGGTAATATATCAAACACTCAAAAAACTAGCTTTCTAGGAAATTACTCTAGAAGAGCCGATAAAGTCTCGGAAATACCCCAAGTCCATTCGCTTTCTTTATTGTTTAAATATTTTTTTTTAAATATAAAATGGATGAAACAAGAAGTTACTAGATTTTGGCACGTCGTAGATTAATTACATCATGTTATGTCAGGTGGCAGTTATCAAAAATAATTTTGAATTTGTCAATTTGTTAAAAAATTGTATATTTTGATATTTCAAAAGTTTTTATAAGTATTTGACAAAATGGTAAAACGATTTAGTGATCAATCAAAAACTTTAATCCTAAACGTAGTTTCTTATTTTAAGAGACACAAATCTATTTGCGAGGCTCTAGGAAAGAGGTACAATCAAATGGCTGGAGATGCATTAAATATTTGGCAAAAAACTATCTATAGACTTAGTAAACCAACAAATTCTGATAAAGAGCATGTGAGAATAATGCCAAAGTAAAGAAAAGTCAATTCTTTAATATTAAGTAAGTTGAGGCAAGTTATATATAAGATGTACAAAGGTGCGCAACATGTAACAATGAAATCGTTACATAAACGAGTTTCGGAAGAAATGCCTGATGTGAAATGTTCTGCATGGTCAATTAATAGATGGATTCGAAAAATTGGCTTTCGCTTTAAAAGAAGTAACAACAGACAGTTTTTATTGGAACGAACACCGATTCAGCTAAAAAATGTCGTTCTTGAAAATTTTTAACATAAAGATAACTTTAAGCCTGTATTTACGGATGAGACGTGGATATATAGCAAGGGAAGTGATAAAAAAAGTTGGCAAGATAGAACAATGCAGACCTCATATTTAAAAATCAAAAAAAGCGGGAATTACCATAATAATATGAACACAGAAAATTTTTAAAAATAGTTTAAGACTAAATTTAGTCTAGAACATCCTTCTTTGATTATAATCGATTATCATTCCCGGTACATGGAACCGATTCCAAGTTATAGTTGGACAAAAGATAAAATGGTCGCAGGAAAAGAACACTAATTTTCCAATCAATGGTATCAAATATCAGATTTGTAAAGTTGTATGTCAAAATCTAACACGAAAAGAATTCCACCTAGATAGATATGTTGAGGAATATGGGCATAAAATCAGAACTCCTCCATATCACTGCCACAATGCTGCGATAGAGATGGTGTAGTCACAGAGCAAACGGTTTTATGACAAAGTCTTCACTGGAAGATGTATTTCAGATTTGGTCAGAAGCTTTGAATATTGTTACCGATGCTCAGTGGGACAATTATGTAATTTTTTCAAAGTGACTTCTTGTAAACGCGCCATAATAGTTTATGCTGTTAAGCAACAACAAAACGCAACTGAATTAAGAAGACACGTGCAAACTAACTTAAAATTCGATACTCTTTGGTCAGAGAACTTGGGGTATTTCTATCACTTTAACACTACTTGTTACATGAACTTGTGTAAGGTTAAAACTCTTACTTCTTTTTAGTCCTGGCGCGATATCTAGCTTCTACTCTCACTCTACCGCCCTATGATGGACGTAGCTTCCTTCAAAATACAATGTCTCGCGCCAAAACTGAGAACTGTTCTATTGCACAATGGACATGCTAATTGAAAATATAAAAAAACGAAAATAGAGAAATATTTAACTCTTTAATGTGCTAATAATGGTTTATTGCTTCGTACAAGAACTAGAAGTGTAGATAGAGTGTTTGAACCATTTGCAATTTTAAAATCATGCATTAAATGTGAGAATTAAAAAATCAATACTTGAAACAAGGGAAGTGACCTAGTTAACGCTGGAAATTGAGTTGCAACAAATATGTAAAAATTTATCAAGACATTTGGAAACTTTTGATGTAGCATGTATTGTTGAATTCCCTAACTGATATGCAAATTAATCAATTACATGATCATTATGAGTACAATAATGGCATTTTAATTCAAAGCTATGTTGAAAAGAATGTATAAATGTGTTACATTATGTATGTGTGCGTTTAAGGTGTATTCAGGGTACGGACCTAAAACAAATTATTTTTTAAAGGTACTGACTTAGAAGAGAAACAGCTGTTTTCGTCCAAAATCCGTGTGCCACGGGACTACCCTTAGGGACAGTGCAAACAAAGGCAAACCTAGTCATTGTAAAAGAAAAAGCTATCAGTTTTAATAATAACTAGGGTTGCCTTGGTTTTCACTCCAAAAATCCAGCACCAGTTTGTTATTATTTTGAGGCCTGCATAAAAATAGATCTAACCATGGTTGGTCTTGTGTGTAGCAATTAAAAACCTTTATTTTTTTCAATTCAGCCTAAAACAATTTGCCCCTTTGATTTGTTATCTATTCATTAGTAAGGCGTCAGATACCTCTACTACAAGAACTAATCGTTAATTTTTGTATATACTCATATATTTAAGACTTACATTAATAATGTTCTGTATACTTTGAGTATTGCCTTCGTCAACTTCTAACATTCTTTTTTGCAGTTTATGAATAATGTTGACGATTGCTTTTCTTACATTTGAGCCATCTGGCATTGTTACAACTCCACTACCATTAACTTTAAGGTTGAAAGTCCAAGGGTCCAAAACTGTTTCAACTCTAAAATTTAAGATTTATTTTGCAAAATTCGTTGCAAGAGGATTTTATTAAATGAACTCACAGAGGGTAAACCTCTTCATCCCACATAGGCAGCAAAGATTGGCATGACAAAATTGAAATTATAATTTTTAGAGATTGTTTTAACTCCTGTCTAGGTAAAATTTTTTCTCCAGTAGAATGGTTTTCCAATTTATGAAGTTCAGGCATCAAATATCTTCCAAGTAGATTTTGAACTGCTTCTACTTCTTCTTTTCCTGGAACGTACCATGATATTTTTAGATCTTTTATTTCTTCGGCTTTACCCCATTCTCTAAAACACATAAGTAAATTGAGGGTATTGCTGGAGTACCCCATCAAAAAAATCCGCATAAAATGAATAACATTATTCGAGTTTGTATTTCTAGTTTTTCTTTAAAAAATCGCAGCAATAATCATAAGGATGTCTGTCATCTGCATACTGTATACTTCTATTTCACTTTTAAGGAATGCATTTTTAAGTTGCTTTTCTAAATCGTCACATTTACCATCTCGTACATTATCTAATTGTTTTGATCAGTAAATTATTTTATATACATAACAAAACAACATAAAACATGAACTTAAATAATTTGAAAAACCTTGCAGAGCTCTAACGTTAAGAAATACAAAGGAGAATGACTTATGGCAGTTTAAGATATGAATCAAAGATGGCGAATGGACTTAGTATCCGTAGCCATTTAATCACATACATTTAATCACACACACACACACACACACACACACACACACACACACACACACACACACACACACACACACACACACACACACACACACACACACACACACACACACACACACACACACACACACACACACACACACACACACACACACACACACACACACACACACACACACACACACACACACACACACACACACACACACACACACACACACACACACACACACACACACACACACACACACACACACACACACACACACACACACACACACACACACACACACACACACACACACACACACACACACACACACACACACACACACACACACACACACACACACACACACACACACACACACACACACACACACACACACACACACACACACACACACACACACACACACACACACACACACACACACACACACACACACACACACACACACACACACACACACACACACACACACACACACACACACACACACACACACACACACACACACACACACACACACACACACACACACACACACACACACACACACACACACACACACACACACACACACACACACACACACACACACACACACACACACACACACACACACACACACACACACACACACACACACACACACACACACACACACACACACACACACACACACACACACACACACACACACACACACACACACACACACACACACACACACACACACACACACACACACACACACACACACACACACACACACACACACACACACACACACACACACACACACACACACACACACACACACACACACACACACACACACACACACACACACACACACACACACACACACACACACACACACACACACACACACACACACACACACACACACACACACACACACACACACACACACACACACACACACACACACACACACACACACACACACACACACACACACACACACACACACACACACACACACACACACACACACACACACACACACACACACACACACACACACACAAAGATGTCCCTTCTCAATAAAAATTGACGTGTTTTGGGATTTTTTTTTATGAAATTTCTATATTCAGAGTATATATGGATAATGACATTAAGAACGAAATAAGTTGTTAAAAATTAACGATTGGAATTATTATACGCGATTATCTAATCGGAATATCAAGAGTTTTAATCATCAGATTATAAAAAAAAACATGAAACAATACTACAAAATAATAAGACAATGACTCAAAATTAGTACCACATAAACATTATTATTTATAATAAATAAATTATTATTAAATAAATTTACAAATATTATGTATAAATATAAAAATATAAGACCAATATAAGATTGGAATAATTTCAAAAAGTTGCTATATGGTGTAAAATAAAATATTTAAAAGAACATTTAGAGGCACCGACATTTTAAATTCTTAAAAAGTTCTGACTTAAAGGTAGCAACTGAATTCACTTTCAGCTTCTTAGGAAGCTTATTAAATTAAGTTGTGGGACAAACATTTCTCAGTTCTTGTATAATTAGTACAAGTGATATAAAAGTTTGGAGTAACATGAACGTTTGCTGTAACATAAAAGTTTGCGTTGCTCCTATATACCCATTGCAATGAAATTTCCGTTGCATGTCATCAATGATGAAAATTGTTTATCAAATTGAACCACTGATCTGTATTATTTTACTGGATAGGATATATGCTATATTTGACATACTAAAAATCCGTTCCATCAAGGAGACCGGAAGTGCAACACTACTGGCCGATTTGGGCAAATTTATGAAGACTAGAGAGAAGGCGGCGATTTACGTCGTTTCAGATTGTAAAACAGGATACAAATCAAATGTAAAACTAAAGAATGTAAGTAAAATATTGTATTCATGTCTAAATATAATATTTATTGTAAACTAGTCACAATATGTATCTTACGAAGTGTACTTTATTTTATTATAAGTTTCTATAATATAAAATTTTACAGTTATAGTTGCTGACTTACAAACACCAATAATTATGCATTAAATTTAACTTACTAGAAAAGAAAATTTATTTTTTATAGAGTTTTAATGTTATATAAAGAGTTGCTACTGTTATTTTTTTTTTTGGTCCCCAATTGTGTCATTGTAAATGTTTTTTATAGGATACTAAACGTTTAGAACAGTGGTAGCATATATATCGTTCCTAGTGCCGATAATGCACTTTCTAGAGATGATGCTGTTCTATACTTTTTAGAAGATATTATCAAATATTATGAGACTATTTTTACTGATGGTACTGTTAGCAAAATAAAAAGGGGAAAGCTGAAATTAAAGGATGAGATAATACCATGTACATTCCCAAATCTCCCTTTATAATTGTATTACAACAATAAAAAATCTGTTAACTGTGTTTATTTTACTCTTAAAAATATGTATTGGTTCAATTTAAAAAAAATTGCCACAAAATTGTACTTATCAAATTTCAGCAATTAAGAAACCTTTTCGAATTTGGTCATACATACTTAATTTGTATTTTATATATATAAAATTAAATAATTTATCAATTAAAACATGCAAGACTTATTTAGAAATAAATACAACAGTATGTTCTGTGCTTTATTTAGCTGTAAACAAGTTTATTTTTATTATTTTGACAAAATTATGTATAATTCCCATACGAAGCCATGTATTTTGAACAACGTATGCAGTACCAGCGCCCATACGGTTAATTATAGAAGCTCAATTAGCATGCGTTTTTTGGGACCGTATTTTGAGTATGCCGATTCGTTTCCTTATCTCTAGTCTTCATAGGCAAATTATGGTGGGATAATTTGACATAACTAACCTATAATTTGATTAGTTCTTCTATTCTTTTTGCGGGCAATGTCCTTCGAACAATTCATCCATAATTTGATTTTTTATGAAAGAAAATATAAAAATGGAAACGTGAAGCATACTGTGTTTTCACGAATGAACGTTTCTTATTTATATCATAGTAATGCTATCCGATACTACTTACACAAATAGCAGATAACAGATTTCTAAAGTACCTATAGTGGAAAGGAAAATTCTTGAAACTGCACTAGAGATTTTTTATAACCTATGTGGACTACAACTAAAAGGAGATATTGGTAATAGAAATAACAGTCTCGTGCTAGAACTACATAGATGGTCGAATCACTTTAGGGAACAAGTAAGAAACGAGAATTGGTGGGTGCCATTGTTAAATAGAACCGGGAAAAACAGGGATATAAGTATGGTTAAAAGATGTAGAAGATCTAAACAATAGGTATCCGTGAAAATGTTTATCTGATAGAACAATATGGATACAAGCAACTAAATTGATTTGAATTGGAACTGATCTAGTGGTGTTATCAGACACATGATTTATATTAAGGATTATGTAATAAAGAGGTTGAAATATATTTTAAATTCTTGGAAATACCCCATATCATTTCAATTGGGTTAAATGTATAATGATAAGGAAAAAACCGAATAACTGTGTGTCCATATTGTTCTGCAAGTTGATCTTCTTTATACAATTATAGTGGTTTATTTCTGAAAACCGTGTTCAATAAATCTTGTTTGTACATATTCTGATCAAATTGAATGTTGTGTGTCATCAACCGATCCTGAATTTCAGGTTTTGTCCAGGAATTATTGGGCGTTTTAAAAAAGTAACGTGCCGTGATAGGAAGCAATGCCCATAACAATCGTTGAAGGCTCAGTAAATTCATAAGTAATTGATTTATTTCCCAATGATAGTCTGAATTGTTACTATTTGATGAAAACACAAGTTCTGCCCCATCAATAAAACCATTTTCTACTGTAATTTTTACTCTCCTTTTATAGTTATTTTGTCAAGTGCGGTTTACTGTGACATTTTGAAAAATCTGTGTTGCATCCAGATAAACAAATTTATATAGAGACAGTTTTTCTGTACTTGTGCATAACTTTAAAAAACGAAATCTTTTACTTTCTTCCATTTAAATCCTACATTGGTTAACAATGATCTTTTGCATCCTGTAAACATTTCTTTTTGTGTTTAAAGTTTCATGTAATTGCGCAGGAGTTACTTGTTGGTTCTTCTGATACATATCGTAAATGACGTCACGAATGTAGTCCGAATTGAAAATTTCGGTTACAGGTTTGGGATGTGGTCGCATTTTTGGAGGAGAATTTGAAATATTATTCTTTAATGTCTGGGAAATTGAGCTTAGCGTCGAAATATTCAAATTCAACGCCGCCGCTACACGCTCTTTGACTGCATTTACTGGTAATAAAGGGCCACCACTATCTCGTTCTTCTTCAAAATATCTTAGAGCCCAATAGTTCTTTCGCACGGCTATTTAAATGTATAAGAATTTTAAAAACAAAAAATACATTTGTTTATTAAACACAAAAATAATCTCTGTTGACAGTTCAATTATACATGTCAAAATGAAATATTGATTTGGCAACTGTCCGTTACTCATACCAATTGCTCACTTCAATCTTGAAAAGCAACAAATATGACTAACAGCAAAGATTTATGTTTAATTCAATCCAATTTTCATCATTGATGACGTGCAACGGAAATTTCATTGCAATGACTATACCAAACATTTTTTTCACAATACTAAGTAAAAATAGGGACATTTCAAGAAAAACTTTAAATTTAATAATAATTTAAGAGAAACATTATTTAATATTTTTCTTGGTTTGAACTAGTTTTTCTAACTTGTACATGTCATATAAATTTTTGTTAATAAAGAAAGAAATTTTATGTGGGATTAATTTCAGGTTATTGACTTATAGTCCGTCAGATAGTGACAGGTTTAGGTGCCCCATTTTTGCATACAAGCCTAGAAGAGGGTTGAAAAGTACATTAATTTTAAGTAGAATGAAAGGAAATTTACGAGAGTGGCTGCTGGGGATAACACATGGAAAATTCAATTTTCCCTAACAAAAACGAAAGGTTATTTGTTGTCCATTTTTCCACACAAGCCGTTTTTACTATATGATTAAGTAATAGAACTAGGCTTTGGAAAACCAAAGGCTTTAATGTTGCAAGTGGCTAAAGGGTTGAAATAAGGAAAAATCGAGATTTTGCCCGATTTTTCTACATAAGCCCATCGAATGTATGAAAAGGTACGTCGTCACTAGTCCGAAAAACATATTTTCTTGAATGACCCGAATGTATAAGTACATTTTGGGGTCGGAAAATTTTTCTGATAAGGAATTTTCCATGTGTTATCCCCAAGAGGCACTCGTAAATTTTCTTTTATTCTACTCAACATCGATGTACTATGCGAAAATGGGTCACCTAAATCGGTCACTATCTGACGGTCTATTACTATTTAAGATGACCACAAAGAATGACAGTTAGATAAGTATACATAATTAAATATGTTTTTATTTCAATTATATTAGTTTGTTTGAAATGATCAGTGAGTTGCCAGAAATGATTAGCAAATAAAATAAAACAAGTTGAATCGATAGACCCGATATCAGGAATTAGCAAAATATGACTAATCAATAATGTACAAAGCAATGACATAACATGACAAGCTTGCCTTTTCATGAAAAATTTTTGGAATTGTCCGGCGGACATGTCCGAAAAAGTAGTGATAGCTACAATAAAAAGTAGTTGACCTCGGACATAGAAGACAGTTAAATTTCCATCCTTGATGTTTTTTCAAAACATTTTGGGAACACTACTTGCATTTGTATTTTAATTTTTTTAGGCAAATCATTTGTAAAATACTCTGGTGCAAAATTTCGAGAGCAAAAAAGTTACGAGTCCATTATTTTTAAATTAAATGAGGAGCTTTTAAAATGCTGTCGTGCTCTACAGCAAAAGCTAACTGATCAGAAAAAGGAGGAGGCTGACGTAGAAGAAAATGATTTATTTAATGAGATAAAAGCCCTAAGATTGTTTTCAATACCTGAAGCGTCAAATCCCCTCGACATTTTACAATATATATTTGAAAACAATCTAACTTCATCTCTACCAAATATTACCATTTCGTTAAGAATCCTGCTTACTTTAACTGTATCTGTAGCTTCTGGTGAGAGATGCTTCTCAAAATTAAAAATACTTAAGAATTATTTGAGGTCTACCATGTCACAAGGTTTTGGCAATCTTAGCTATAGAGCAAGAGATCCTCGATAAAATTGATTTTGACAATATTATAAAAGAATTTGCAGCAGCCAAATCCAGAAAAAAAACTATTTAATTTATGGATAATACGCTAATTCAGTGATGATGTAATTATGGTTCCACTGACAATTAAAGTGACAGTAGATTTTTTGAGTGCGTTTTGTTTACCTAAATTATATCGTTTTTTCACTTTTATAAATATATTCCTAAAGTAAGTAGATAACATGCATCAAATATACAATCGTTTAGTTACCAATTACATACCTTTAAACCATTTTTTATGACCTGTAAACAATACTTAGAAATAAACTATAAACAGTAAAATGTATATGTCAAATTTATTGATGTTTTTGTTAAAAGTTTGGTTAGAATTAAATGTCCGTGAAACCAAAATGACATCACACCGAACTAGCGTATTGAATGTTTTATTTGTGTACTGTTTGGTTTGTTTTTTCGTTTGTAAGAATAAAATATTTGGTTTTTTAAAAAACTGTTGTTTCATTACAAAATTAAAATAAAATGTGGTTTCGCAATTCGCTCAAATGTTAAACGACTACAAGAATATTACAGCAAACCAGGAAATTTAAAAAACATATGTAACAGCTTAAAGTTGTTATTCTTCAAAATAACTCGTTACTGGGGTCTTGTTAGGAAAATCGCCGAGACAGTAAGACTTAAGATTCTCACTGTATAAGTACTACATACAGTATGGTTCAAATGAAAGGAATAAATTCATTATAATGGAAGTAGTTGGTTTTTCGAAAAAATGCTCGGACAGGTGCAATTTTTTAAATAGAATTAAGTTTTACTTCACATTTTTGGGCAGTGACGTCATTGACAATTTTTTTAAATAGTAACCCCAATTTTTTTTTCTTGATTTTGATAGATCTTGCAATTTTTTACTCTGAAACATAATATTTGAAATATCTTACATAACAATTTTTTTTTTGAATAAAAGACATTTAAAGATCAGACACATAAATTTTATTTTATATTGAGAACACAATAAATAAATAAAAGATAATTATTTGTAATTAAGTGCTTAATCTTAATAATTAATAATAATAATAATAATAATAAAAAAGAATTTGTGAAATTGTCATTAAATTCTTTTTATTATTATTTTTTTAGATGAAGCACTTAATTACAAATAATCTTTTATTCATTTATTGTGTTTCAAAATAAAATAAAATTTATGTATCTGATCTTTAAATGACTTTTATTCAAAAAAAAAAATTGTTGTCAGATATTTCAAATATTATGTTTCCGAGTAGGAAACTGCAAGATCTATCAAAATCAAGAAAAAAAAAATTGGGGTTACTATTTAAAAAAATTGTCAATGACGTCACTGCCCAAAAATGGGAAGTGGGGGAAAATTAAATTCTATTTAAAAAATTGCGCTTTTAGTAAACAAAATTGACCTGTCCGAGCATTTTTTCGAAAAACCACTAACTTCCATTATAATGAATTTATTCCTTTCATTTGAACCATATTGAAAGGGCGCCAAAATATTTCCGGCACGCGGGCGGCGATAACCCTTGCGGGGGCCCTGAAAATACTTTCAACCTTTGGATTTTTTGGCAATTTTTTCACGTGTTTATTTTAATAAGTTATGAAACGAAAATTCGAAAACATCGTTAAAACATGTAAATCAGTAATGATCTGTCGTTTCTTCTTTTTTAAACTATATTTTGCCTTTGTTTGACAAATTATTTAATTTAATTTCGCGCATGCGCAATACACTTTCCCGCTTTTGAAAAGTGTTTTGAACTAGTCAACTTTTCAGACTAGTTCATCGGACTTGTCTCTGGACTTTTTTAGTATTAAATGAAATGGATATTATATAGTAAAGCCGCAACGAAGCTGATTGGAGAAAATATTTATCTTAGAAAGCAGGAATCAAGGTTAGGCAAAAACTAGACTAAAATTTATTGAGAAATCAGTAAACTAAAGAATAGGAAATTATTATATTGTGACTGAAATAATCTATTACAACAATGTTGTAAACAAAGTTATTTTTAAATGATTTTTGATGCGAATTTTTTCCAATCAATTAGAGATCATAATTTCATTAAATTTTTGGCTTACCTAATAGGAAGAAATTCTTCGACAGGCTTGGAATAGTCAGTGGCACAGCTTTTAATTTCTGTCGGTTGAATATTCGTCAAAGATGACATCATAAGTTCTAACATTCTGGCTGAAAATTGACTAGCACTTTGACAGGTCATATGTAACGTTTTGTCCAAGATAGTTGTTAATCTATCTAAGTAGTTTAACAGTACTGATCTACCATCTACCAACTAAAACCAACGTGTGTATTTTCATAAAAAAAATTACTAACAATAATTACTAAGAAATATTTGAAATATCTTACTTCTGACAACATTAACAAGTTGTAAAGTAATTCGTCGTCAATATGTTCTTCTTTTTCAATATTAGGATTTTCGTTTAAGAGATCTTGGATTCTATCACAAAGATAAGGCAAAAACAGCTTTAAAGTTTCTTTCGGATTAACTTTTGCAAAGCAGTGGCAACCAATAGCCACCATTTTACCAGAAACATGAACTTCCATAACTTTTGAGGTTACAAAATTGTATATCTTTTTTAAGGCACTCTGAAATAAACATTCATAGGTTTTTATTATTATCAGAAATTCCGATATATTTCATTTTTTTTTTAATAAATGCATATTGATCAAACGATAATGTTTACCTTAAATATATTTGGTGAACACTGATTTAAAACGACAGATATAACAGAGCCCAATGCACTTTCAGAAATAGTTTCTATTCTATTTTTAACATTATCATTATTTGTCATTTGCTCTAACCTGATGAAATCCAAACTATTCGACTCCATCCATATGCATAATTTGTCAAAAAACTAAAAAAGAAAATTAATTTAGCTAATTAGTGTTTTTAAAAACACAAAATCATATAAATGGTGTTCCAAAATAAATGTGGAATTTAAAATGTGCACCAGTTATCTTTTTTCCTTACTAATTAAGTCCTAAAAAATCTGCTGATTTGATCTTCCTCAACATTTTTTTTAAATTATCAAAGTTCACTTTTAAACACTGCTAATTTGTCATTGGTAAATGGTAACGTCGCAAGATAGCGTATATTTTCGTCAAACGCGTACGATGCCAGTGACGACGACACATTGCGTTTGACGTATGAGCCGTGCCTCGAAACAATCAACGATACGTTCAACGGTATGCATTAAAATGCAACGCTCGACGCAGTGTTACTAGGGATTTACGGAAAGTGTGATCCAATTAACTCGATCACTTAGGTTAGTTGGGTTAGGTTTTAGCTGGGTTAGTTGTGTTCGTAAAGTAATTTGATTAACTCGTTTTTTACCATATGATCTGATCTTACTTACCCTCCTCACTAGCAGGGTAACTTGGATTAATAAATATATTTGTAAAGATTATGAGGTTATGTTGTTGGATAGTGATCTGTGAGGTAGTTGGATACAAGGATACTTAACTCCAGGCGCGGCTCGTGAGTTATTATAGAGGTGGGTCAAATTGTGGTGGATAGTGGCGCAGGAAATTGTTTTGGAGTGTTGAGCACAATTTATTATTTTTAACTTTTAATTAAAGCAACTGAAAGATATATTCCTCAAGATATCCAATGGATAGTCAAAAAAAGAACATTTTGAAAATTTATACAGCGAAACACAAAACGAAACAATAAAAAACTTTGAGCCGAACCTTTTGTTTGGGTTTTTATTTTCACGGAACTATGATGCTAATGCTTCGTAGGCCTAAGCGCTTTCGAGCACGTACATTATCATATATATTGGTCGGCCGTCGACAATTACTTGTCTCTTTTTAACTTCAAAGCGGGCGCGTATGCTGTTATATCTCCAATAGATTTTTCCTTGTGCATTGTCTTATAACCCATAAAGTAAATCGGGTCGGTGGTGTAGCGGTCTCACGTGCTTATATTCATTATTTATAGGCAAGTTTGTGGTCAGAGTCAGAGGGGCTTCGAGTCCCACACCGGACCATGTGATTTTTAATTAAATTGTATGGTTCGGTATAGCATTTGATGTGTGCCGTATTAATAGAAATTCAATTTCTGTTGATATGACATGCAGATTATAAAAATCGCCATGCATTACCGTCTCGATGATGGTGGGTGAGGTTTTCCTCACCTGTAAGTCAAATGGCACCATCAATCATCTTTAAGTCGCCCCGGAGTGCCACGGCAAATAATAATAATAGCTGTCCCTTTCCCCACACAAGCTCAGCTTTTGGGGTTAAAATTCACTCGTAAGGGGGCGAATTAAAATAAGAGTGGATTCGGAGGTGCCGTAAAGCTGATAAAAAAATGGAATTCCATAACAAGTCAGATTTGTTTTGAGCAATGATTATGAAATTAATCTTTATAATGAATTATTGGGTTTGCTAATGAGGAGGCGATTAAAGAAAACCGCACAGTCCCTACTTTACTTATTGGGAATAATGATAAAACTTTATTATAAAAGCAAATATCAGAGATTATTGCCACAAAACAAAGAACTAAAAAACCAAATGAACTTGATAATTACATCTGAAGAAGCTGCATTTGTTTTTACTTTGCGCTATTACAGCAAAAAGGCGTATATGTATGTAAAACAGCAATTAAATTTGCCACGTCCTGGTTTGTCTTCTATAAGGCGATGGGCTAATAAATTTTACAAATGGAATCTTAACCAGTATATTAAAATGTGTGCCGTTGGAAGAAGAATCAATGGGCGACTTTGGCAAGCAATCTGTATTATTTGTACTATTTTATGTACTATTTGTTTACTATAAGTACTATGTTGTACTAATTATGTAGAATTACCAACATTCCAACGATGCTGACCCAGAAAAAAAAATGTTAAGTAATACACAAACGACCTTTTTTTGTTTTCAGGTCGTCAACCTAAATTTAATATATGAGACCTATCTAATATATTTGTTTAGATCATCAACTTAATTTTAATTTATGTACTATTTCTATACTTTTTGCATACTATGTGCACTGTTCATGTACTATTTGGGGCACAATGTGTACATATAAAAGTCAGTAATCATTTGTCGTTTCTTCTTTTTTAAACTATATTTTGCCTTTGTTTGTAAGACATTCAAAAAAATTAGTTAATTTAATTTCATGCACTTTTCCAATTTTGAAAAGTGTGTTTGGACTAATCAACTTTTCAGACTAGTCCGTCGACTTTTCCAAGCGACCCATCACTAATTGCTATTATTATTTTACATGAAATGTAAGCCAGGGCAGTTTATAATCGTGTTTATTTTTAAATTCGCTAATTCGAAGGTCCGGCAACTACGGCATTTTCCGAATAATTCCGATGATACACGAGCATTGAACAATCCTATAGAGTCGAGTATCCTTGGTTGGGTACATAAAATTTAGACTTAAAGTAAAAAAAATAGCTCACTAAAACAAAATTGGAAATGTGACAACGTACCGTGGTGTAAAATTCTGTATTCTTTCACATTTATGCTTTCGGAAACATTTAAATAAATACCCGTTTTTCGAATTATTTTGATATCAGCTGACACTTATCAATCTAACATATAGTTTTCGTAAAAGCCTCTTGTCATCTTATGCTGTTGAAGATATACTCTATATTGAGACCTTGCTATTTTCCACAGTCAATTTTTTTCCTAAGATCTGGAGAAAATCGTAGGGTTTGCTTAAATTTATTTTCTATAATCACTAGCGATTAGAGCATTACTGCAAGAAAATAAGCTTACCTGTAAAACAAAGTCCTCAAAATTAGCAGTAGCTTCACAAACCACATGTTCTTCTTCAGAAAGTTCATAGTGAGAACTAGCACCTGAAGAATCTATAACTGGGATCATATTGACAAAATGAACAATAAAATTAAACGTGACATACGATTTTCTTATGTCATTAGGATCTATACCAGGCAAGAGTTCCATAAGAAGGGGTATTATGTGTGTAGGGCCCTCTGGATAGTTGTTACGATTTCCTTGAACCATATATCTGAAGAAAAAATTGAAAACAATTCAAAAAATACTTTATTTATGATTTTTTGATTGACATTGAAAATGCTTGTTCATTTATTCAATATACATTTAACTATATATAATTGACATACATTGTTCTATAAAAAAAATAATTATTGTCCTTATCTGCAAACATTCCTCCACAGCATCTTCCTGCTTAATTAGAGGAAAACTTCTTGTTATTCAAATGTTTTTTTAAGCCCCGAAAGTAAATGATAATCTGAATGGGTTAAATCTGGTGAATTAACCACCCCCAAACAATTCAAACTTAACTACTAAACCAAATGTCTGCAATCCAAGTGTAATTTTAGAATCTTCTTGAAATAAAGATGTTGAAAATGTAAAATTGGCATGTCACATTTTTAGCCTTTTCAAAGTTTTCTAAGTAATCAGACATAATAGGAAGTAGTTGAAATTATGATCATCAGTTTGGCCCATAATCAGATATTCTAAAGTGCATTACGACACTATTATGTCTTAGTACCCAAAGAAAGACTTTGGGATGGTTTTGAACATTCAGTCATTTTCCTTCAAAAATCTTGCTGTATATAGTTTTCTCCAATTTTTCACGGTGGCCTACAAAGGACAACTATCCACATCTGCATTTCTAAATAGAGATGCCCTTTTAAAACATACTATTATCACCAATCGATTCTATCAAAATTATTGGAATCAATATTATATGAAATATCTGTCAAAAGTCCTAAAATCTAGAGAGTTAATTAAGTTAATTGTTTTTTGCTTACCTTCCACATGCAATAACAGCCATCATAGAGGACGTCAATTTATGAGGCTCTGTTAGGCTGTTCATAGATGAATATAGCTTTTCAAGAGTCATTGGAATAATAATGTTTGGTCTCAAACATGATAGATATTGCAAAGTTAAACTAGTATCTTGAAGTCCCATCCTATAATCATCATTATTTTGGTAAAAGAAAAATATGGCAAAAACAAGCAATGACAGTATGTTACAATTTAGAATGCTACCAAGTCAGATTTTTTTTTTAAGAAAAAAGAAATTTTTTATTGTGCCTTCCCAGAAGACTGTCAACCATCAATCTGTCTTTCAGCCCTAAATTTTAAAAATAATTTATTGCATTTCAGTTCAGTAAATGAATAAGAGTGTGTCATATTCGTGAAGTTTTAATAAAACAAAAACATTTAATGGAACTTAATATTAGTCCTATCAACGAATTTTTGGCTAACAAATGCCATATGAATGAATCAGTAATAGATTACATAAAATCATAGTGTAAAGAATAAAAATGATAAGACATATGTGGAGTGGCAGGCAGCGAGACATAAAATGAAAGTACCTTAAACCCCTAATGCTAAAAGGTCATTAGGACAAAGTAAATCATTTTTTTTTTAAGTTCTAACTTACCTATTGTATAAAGCTTGTTCAATACATGGTCTCATTATATTAACAAATCTATCAAGATCTGCATCTGTTAATTTATAATGATCTGGGACTTGAAATTCCCAAGATGGTGTCTTGTAACGTTCACAGTGAACTCTTTGTATGAAATAAAAAGAAAGAGTGCGCAACAGTTCTCTCAATTTAGAAGTCCATCTAAAAAAGCAACAACAAGAATAATAAAAGAGATGACTATTAATTTTTAATATATTATTTAAATAAATATTCAGTGTTAATACTTTTATTTATTATAATTGTAAAATACCTTCCAGTATTGGCAGGATAAAAATAGGACTCCAAAGTCTGCATAAATTTTTCAAAATGAAAGAAGGCCACGTTTTTGTCACCGTTTAAGACACACACTATCCACATTGCCATAGCAGAAATATCAATCTTGTGAAATCGACCCATATGTCTTTGTTTGAATGCTACTGGTAGCTGAAAAGTTCTTTGGAATCTTACAAACATGGCTGGAATGTAAGGCTGCCAATCTATTCGGCCTATTTGGAATCTGGCTAGCCCTGTCATGATCCACATCATATTCTAAAAATGGAAATTTAATAAACAACGGATTTTTGGTAATTTAATGTATAGTTATGAAGTAACAACTATAAATTTACATCCTCATCACATCAGCAGGTTAAATTTTTGCACTTCTGACAATATCTGACCGAGGTCCTAAATCAGCGCCCTAACAGGGCATTAAGAATGAAATCCAGGAGTTGCATTGAATAAATCATGAATATTAACTTTTTTGGTTTTATTTCTACAAGACCAGAATCAACTACAAGTATTTTAACAATTTCTTACATTTTCCCATGTACTATCATCTTGACAGGTATCCCACAAATTCATCAATTCTTCAAACCATAATTTGTAACTTTGATCAGCTTCTTCAGCTTTCATACTATTTGGTAAAAACAATTCCAAATATCTTATAGTACTGGCCATTTCTGTGTGATTAAAAATGCAAAGTTTGGGTCTAAATTCATCTAAAATTTCTTGAGTGACTGATGCTGGAAAATATCTGCAAGAAGATATATTATTTAGTTTATTTTTTTTTTCTAAAATATTGAATTAGAACTCTAAAATGTGTTTAAAACAATTGTATTACTTACACCTTACATAACCTTATAAGATGAAATATTGTCATTTCAAAATTGGCTGCATATCTGTACATTCCTATAACTGTTTTGCTTTTTTCCATAAGTTTTACACACAAATCATACAGTGGTCTCCAATCTAATTGTAAATCATCTCGAGTAAGAAGATATTTTTTTCTAAAATGGTATTCAAATTATTATATAAAAAAAACAATAGTTAACTTTGTATTTTTCAACTTACTTTAACAGCTGAATTAACATTGTAGCACATTTGTTAATTCTCGTGGGTTCTAAATCTGGAATTATAACTAACTCATAAAATAATTTTATCAAGGCAATATGGTCTTCCTTAGAAAACTTCATTCCATAAATTTTGATGTATCTGAAAAAATTAAAATGCTTTGAGTGTCTTCCTTACACCAAAGAATGAAATTCTAGGGTTTATAAAATTTATAATAGGTGTGTTTAGTAAAATTCAAAAATACTTTTTTCTAAAAGCACAAATCTAATATAAAAATATTTTATTAAAATTTTTCTCACAAGAATTTTTTAAAATTTCAAAAAATTCAAGCGAATTTAAAACGCGCACGTCATAATGAAACCTAAAATTTTATTGGCTAATTTATATTTAATGTTTCAAAGAGTAGTTGATTTATTTTTACCCTGTTGCCATTTCTTGTAAATAATTATTGAAATTCCAGATAACCCACAATCAGTTAAAGGTTAACATCATATAATTTAACATAAAACATATATTAAAAATAAAATCATATTTGTTTAAATTCAGTTTTTATATAGCTATTTCAATGAACGTTCTTAATCGAAATGTTACAGTTCCATCAATTTATTAATAAAGAAATACAAAACTGCATATCTGGATCCAGAGTTCAAGACTATGTGGGTCTTAAAAATAACAAATGTTATAATGTCACTGAAGATGAATTAGGTACTTAGTCATAATACTAATAATACTACACAAAATTAATACAAATACAGTAATTTAATATATAATATCACACTATTTAAGCCTGAAAATGTCAACTAAGAAGAATCAGTTAAGAACGTTTTTTATTTGTTTTAAAGAGGTCAATAATCATTATATTCTTTATGATGCTTTGAAGATCATTGTATTGTCGCAGACCATTCGATAATATGCTTCAGTCACCTAAGCATGTTATTACAGCTTTGGTTCTGCAGCAGAAGTTGTTCCTGGTATTGTATTTATCCTATTTATGAATATCATTGGCAGTTGTCAGTTGTATTGATCTGTATCTGTAACTCGTGGAGGGAGGGATACCCCAAGACACTTAGGCTTCACTAGGCCCATTGTGCATCCTCCTAAGATGATAGACACCTCCTAACTCATGAGCCAGCCTACAGATTTAATGTAGTTGACAACGTCGCCAAGAGGTGCTTCTCTTATATTGGCTTGCCGAACACAAATCTTCTAATAAATGAGAGCGTCGAACAATCATGGAGGAAATGGTCTCATCGATGGTCTCATCTTCTTGTTAGCACCCCCTGCAGTGCGGAATTTGACAGCCCCCATGATATGAAGATGCTTCTGTACTTGGCAATGACAAGTCAGAATGCATGTGATTAGGTGCAGATTCTATCTAGTCATAGTCAAGTATTTGTTTGCTGCAGTGTTGTCAGGATAACTTAAAAGCTCCTTGGCAACTCTGCAGTTTCTTGTTTCATTCCATCCTTCCTTAAATTTCACAAGGCAATGTTCTTTAATTAGGTCTGTTACTACCAATTTTGCCAGACCAATTAAAGGGCCAGATTCAAAAAGTATTTGGTTGGCTGCTTTCTTGGCCAGTGAATCAGCAAGACAATTAACTTTGTTATAGGGATGTTGCAGGGATGTGTATATTATTCAGACCGGTTATGAATAAAGATGCATGTTTGATATTTAGAGAGGGACTGAATGTCTAGAATATCAATATGACCATACAAAAGGATGACAAAATGGAAGTTGAACATTTTTTCTGATAGTCCGTCCTATTCTGTAGAAGTTAGTTCCTTCACTAATTTGTCCTGCCTACGTCAAACTATACATTTTTCAGTAACAAAATTGCATTTATGAATTGCCTTATTAGATCATATATGTGGTAAAACACAAAAAAACTTTACTGAATAAAACTTTGATGTAAGTAGGTATTTACTTTATTTCAAAAACAACTTTAGAAAATAAACTATAAATTAATTTTTTTGATCTTCAAGATCAACGTATTTGAGCATTGCACCTGCGAAAATCCTTTGCCTACAAACCAACCCCTCCACCCCCCACCAAAAAAAATATATCTGTTCTTGACCCTCGACCACCTATGGTTTTTTTGAACTGTACTCAACCTTTTTTTCTTTCGGGCCAAATAAATCTGTTTGTTATGCTACATGGGCCACAATATTTTTGGGTAATAACTAGAATTGCCACCTTTTTAAAATATAAATAAAGGACAATGGGTGACGATAGGGATCCCCTTTAAATATTTTCTAAAAACAAAAAAAAAGGGCCTCATATTGTTTTAGTTTACATATGTAAAAAAGAGGTCCTCATGTTGTTTTAATAAGCTTTGAAAAGTTGCAAAGACAATTTGTTTCAAAAAAGGACTGTAGGCCAACTATTTAAATTCCTAATATAATAGTGTTTGGGGCTGAACAAAAAAGCTTGGAGGGCCGCGGGCCACAGGTTGAGTATGGCTGTTTTAGGCTATACTCGATTTTTTATGAGGAATAACTTATTTTCCTAAAATTAATAATAAAAGAGTTTCTCATATACCACAAACTGTCTACGTAAGTTAATATTCATTTGCACAAAGTTTGAATGTCAAATTGTTGTTTAGAATGTTGATTTACATGTTTCTAAAAAAAATATGTAAAACTCGAAAACAGCTCAAATTAGACAATTGCCAAAAACTCTACTTAATCAAACGCAAACCAAAAGTTATTATTATAAACTTTGGTTCTCTCGAAATTTCAAAATAGTTGGATCTGGCAACAATGTGCTGCATAGATATACAAAATATACACAATTCTGTCAAATATCAGAATGGTGAGGATGACACAATCAAAATTACAAACCTTGTACTGTGCCTTGTACTTATTTCTGATTTTCAATTTATATTTAAAATGTTACAAAAGACAGATATTCTTACTTCATTAATCTGGACGTCCATAAGGCACAACCAGGTCGCATTTCCCTTGCTAAAACTGATTTCACTAAGTTACTTTTAATGTCTTCGAATAATTTGGATGATTCCTCTTCCAGTTCGTCTGCATAGGGGAGTAATTTGTTGTAAACATTTTCTTTCTGAAATTTAGACCCCTTTAGTGGTATATCATTAGTTGTATCTACTTCCATTATTTCTTCAATATATCACTTTCCGTTTGATTTTGATACACCAAACTGTCCATATGTGTTTTTCACTGCACGAACTTTAAAGTTATTAATGTGTTGTTCACCTTCACTTTTGAAAATGTAATGTTAATTAAAAGACGTCTATTTTTATTTCAGAAAAATTTTTTGCTGCAGTCATCACGGTCAACACAAATTCAGCAGCTGTCACTGTCAGTTATCATATGTCAAATCAATAAATATCAAGGAACTGTACACTGATAGGTTCAAGTGTTAGTTATTGGATGACGTAACATGATTCTAATTTGAAATATCATTTTAGTTATTCTGTGATAATGCATTATTAATTATCATCGGTGTAAATGGTTTTGATGCTAAATTATTAAAATACATTTATTTAGTTAAATAAAAAGATACTCTCGTGAATCGAGTGACTGTCTACCGTGGTTAGACAGACAGATACACTTTTACCGCTGGTGGGCTGGCGCTTATTCTATATTGTTCTTTTGGCGTAATTGTAGGACTCTTAACATATTATACTGTATATATACAAAATGGATAATCAAATTGTTACAGGGTGTTAAAATAAGACCAAAAAATCACTTCCAAAATGTCTACTTTAACACCCTGTAAATTTTTAATGCAGGCAAGTTAGTTTAAATCAGCCTATTTTCCACCCACCCCAGAAACTGTGCTGATAAAATTTTTTCTACATCTTTTTCGTTACATCAAATGAAAATCAATATTTATATTAACAAGTATAGGTACTTTAGCACAAAATACCTACCGTGGTACTAGTTAGTGAAACAATCTCTTATCTCGCAAAGTAAAATATGGCTTTTGATCACCGGAACTGTGCCTTGAGTCTTGAAGATCGGTAGGAGGTCCATGGTGCCCTGTGATAAATGCAACATAGGTATAACTCAGATATAACAATAATATGTAAAAAAAGTAAAGCAGCTGGACTGAAGATAAACTTTGCGGGATTCAGCATCAGACAGACAGGTATAACCCTTGATATTCTGAAGACGATACAGATAGTCCCTCATCTGACTGCAAAAAAAAGTGGAGCGTCGTCTTTTTTGCTTGCTCTTTGTAATTAGTCAATCCAATGTCCTGTCAGAATGGACAAAAATGGCCGATGCTTGGCGAAAACAACAAAGTTTGTTAACCTGAACTTTTCATTAGTATTTGTCTGTTATTTTAAATCATACAAATATTATTCATATTTTCAAAATAAATATTAAACTATGCAATTTTTCACCGTAAAAAAACTCTAAACGATCCAAAAAAATAATACAAACTTAGACTAATAATCTCACTAGAAGTGTTTTCGTCAAGGGAAACACGTATTTTTGTCGTTTTTGCCATGGTCTAAGATCCGAAGTAAGGTCGACCTTCACCCATCATCTGTTTAACGGATGAAAGTTTCTTTTTATTAAATATGTTTATACCGCAAATGGGTTGCCTAAGAAAATACGGTCGTGACTATTTATTTTCTTAAAGTAAAAAAAAAAAACGACATTGTAAAGTATTCCCCACCCAGACAGCACACCAAATCCTTTGGATATCTACTGAACATCCCAATATTTAGTGAATGTCCAGTCCATGGTGGATATCTATTTTATATCCATGAGATGTAATTTATAGACATGCAAATGTCCATAAATAATAGTAATTATATAGCAAATTATTAAAAAATTACGCCATTGTGCTCGCCATTGTGGCTAATAGTTCCGTTCAGATATTTAAAATTAATTTTTTTAAGGTGTATTCAATATCCCATGGACATCCAATAAATATATCAAAGTCTAGGCGCGAACGCAAACCATCGTGGATATCCACTAGATGTTATTTGATTTTGCTTACTAAGTATAGATGGCGATACCACTTTCGCATCTACTTATGCTCGACCCGCCGTAATTGAGTTCGATCGAAATGTGTGTCCTAATCACTCCATTAGAGACTGGAGTCGAGAATTTTCATTTATTGCTGAAGAGTCCTAATAAGGATGACTTTCTCCTTAGTGGGCAAAATCAAAGGCAGAGTGTTGAAAATATTTTGAGCGTTGAAAATATTTTTTATCTCTGCTATTTTCTTTCGACGTTATTCAATAATCATTGGTTACTTATGAACCTCTACTAAAGATACCCATAAAATATTTTGCTGAATATTCGAATATCTTCTATATCCTGGGATATAGACGAACATTTGGTTGGATATCCATATTGGATATATTGAATATCCACAAAATATATTCTGTGGATATCTCTGGGATTTCTTGTATTTTCTGGAAGATACCCATTAGATATTTTGCTGGATATCCATTAGGATATCTTCTATATTCTGGATATAGACGGACATTTGGATATCCATATTAGATCCACGGAATATTTCTGATATCCTGTGGATATATTGGATACCCACAAAAGATATTCTGTGGATATTTGTGGGATTTGGTGTGTTGTCTGGGCAGATGCTTCGACTATGCCCAAACTTTAATTAGCTCACCGCAGGATAAACTGAAGCTTAAGTTTAAAATTTGGTGTTTTCTTTTCATGCGTTTTTGAATTATCTTCAAAATTCGAAATTGCACTTTTCGTCAAATATCTCGAATTAGGTCCATTTTAGGGAAATCATGTATAGGAACAAAATTATAGAGAATGACAAGGAACAAAATTATAGAGAATGACATCACAAGCAACTTTTATTATGATTCCTATACTTTCTTAATCTGTATACAGAAAGGAAACTAAAAAATGGCCATGACCGTATTTTCTTAGGCATCCCATTTGCGGTATATTTATAAACATATTTTATTAATAAAAAAAAATTTTCATCCATTAAACAGATGGGTGAAGGTTGACCTTACTTGCGGATCCTGTACTACCAAGAGGCCACAGTTTAAATTACCGTGATATTAGAAGCATTTTTTTGTGCAAAAAGGTTGATATGCAAAAAAATGTACAACCTGGCGATAAGTGATTGAATAACTCCCAAAGTGTTTTTATGACTCCCAAATAAGAGTACTGTCCTTGTATGCATTTTTTATTCAGTAGTTCTATCCCATTCAGCCTTTTTTGTTTTGTTCCCATAACGGTGGAAGAAACGAAGGATAATACCGTCGCCCACAGATCGACGTAAATCAGAAATTGTGGTTCCGACTGCGAGAGAGGACGCACACGGATATGTTTTTTAGTGGGTATGTGAAATCTGAGCTCCATACTACCCTTAAAGACCCACTCCAGGGTGTGCGTAAATGCATTTTCCATCTAAAAAAGTCGCCAGGACTAATTTCACCGTGAATGACCTTATAACGGCTGCCGCATGCATCGCTGAGACGCTCCTGAGACGATATCACTGAGACTGACCTCGACGGTGGACGGAGACAAGCCGGGAGACAAATCCAACAGGAATCACCTTGAGTGGATAGGTATCCACGTATATTGTGAAACCCTAGTTTTAATTTTGTCGTAGTTCTCGTATTTAATTCATGTAACCATAAGATTTTTTTGTAATTGTCAATTTTTCCACCATTTCCTTTTTTCTAATCAAAAATTAACAGGCAATCTTCTACACTAATGGCAACACATTGTTCATTAGAAGACCTATAGGAAGACGCCATAGTAAACGCTGATAGCTGAAAATAGATCACTATCCACTGAAATTTCAAACGGTGGCGTGAAGCCGTCTCAGTGTATGTTGGTGTGCTTTGGGACCCTTCCTCAGGAAACTTGCGTAGCGCCGCATGCGGTGAGTCAAATCTCATAGAAAATCGGTCGTTTATAAAAATATAAACATAAGAGGACAAATAACGTTAAATGACCAAAGGAGGTGACACGTTTTAAATGTAAAATACTCTTCGGTCAGAATTTGATATTTCACCTATCTATTACATTTCATTTTATCAGCGGAAGTTTGAAATCTTATTCTTTTTTAACCGTAACTAGTAAGAATTTTTCAAGTGGCTCCTTGGTCGAGGTCGCCTAGCGCTTGAAAGCCCAGAACGACAGTGTACGTGTCGTGAGTTGATTCCTGCTCAAGTCAAGTGATTAAAAAAAAAAAATTAAAAAATGGTGTATAGCGGGTTGCGAAAATAATAAATAATTATTAATAATATAAAATAGTGTGTGATGAGTTGCGGTTGTGCAAAAAAGTGGAGATGTGGTCTCAATGGAATATAATCGAGGCATGTACATTTTTTGATTGTCCAGTATTCAACTTCCAAATAAAATCCAGAATTGGACATCCTATGAATGGGTAAGTGTGCCAGTTGTATACTTTACTGGATGTCCATTGGCCTCGGAAGTCCAGGAAAAATTCATTTTTTTCTACCAAATCGACACAACTCTGCCTTGCAAAAACTGTGTTGTCTATTTTTTGCTTTCCGATGTGAAACATGGAAAATATTGAATTGTATCGAAGGAAAAAAGCTGCTTGTATTCGCTTCCTTTGAAGGAAAGAAGCTTGTTGTATTCGCTTTCTAAACAAAAAATAAATTCTGGTTTTCACGAGGCTCTTGTATGGGATATAAATTAAACTTCTAAACAACTACTTTATAAAATTTCTAACAATAAAAATTAATACAAACCATGTGTAATTCCAGCAACACAAAAGGAATTACTAAACAATATTGAATAAATTTAACATGACTTTCAAAAAATAAGCTTATGACTAAAAAAAAGTATAAATATAATTTCTACCGAGATATTTTTTTAATGACATTAATAACTTACCGCTGTTTGCAGCCACAGACACTGATAGTTTAAGATATGATTGAAATATGAATTTCAAGAAACGATTTGGAAATTAGCTGCCAACTAGACTCCCACTTTACGAAATTTCCCTTTCTTAGGAATATTACGTGCGGCGATAATTAAATTTTAAAATAATCGAATACTATGTTTATACAGGATGTCACACATTTAAACCTTGTCTAAGATCTGTCCTGCTACATTTACATATCTTGAATCACGTAATCAAAGATTTACTACATCTCAGATGCATCCGACATGGATGAAGAAACGCAGCATACGATCTTTTTATTGATGTGAAAGACAGATGAGGCCTCGAAAACATCAATCACAAATCACCTCAAGGATCATTTCTATCAGCTTTTTTAAAATAATAGACTTTCAGCCACAAATCAAAGTATGTGCTTTCAGCACATTACTTATTTTCTGTGCCTCACGATATTTTTGTTTTGTTTTGACAGGTCTGGTTTTAGGACCGAATCACATTTTAATGTAGTTTTACAGATCCTTTACCCCAAATCTTATTCGGAAGTTGGAAGGGTTCAAAAAGCAGTTTTTTAAGTACCCTATGTATCTACCTCTTGTCTGAAACATTGCTCCAAAATGAATTAGTGATCTTAAATCTCAAACCCTAAATATTAAAGCAATGTGAGATAATTTGTTCAATATATTTTTTTTATAATAATTGAAAAAACTCATAAAAATTCTAAATATATTTACAATAAAATAAATTACACAGCAGTTATCACTATATTAATAAAATTATCACATAATGTTTCATTTATCCCCTTTAGAAGAGACTGCACGACACTGCATGGTTGCCGCTTCTACAGCTCCTGCAACAGCTGCTCTAAAACCTATAAAACAAAAAAACAATAATATGTATAGGTAACAAATTATATTCAGAGGAGCCACGCAAGGCATTTAAATTGTTAATGCCACTAATTAACCACTTAATGTACACATTTATTTTGATTGGTCAAAAATGATCTGATTTTTTTAAGTGAAAATGTAGTTTTTATACTTATTAGAACACGCTCGCATCTGAAGCGAGCATAAAAAATATGTGAGTAAATATAATGATCGCCCGTGTCCCAGTCGAGCACATACAAATACGCTAGTTCAGTGATGATTAATTTATGGTTCCACTGACAATTAAAAATTATATCGTTTCTTCACTTTTATAAATATATTCCTAAAGTAAATAGATAACATGCATCAAATATGCAATCGTTTAGTTACCAATTACATACCTTTAAACTATTTTTTGTGACCTGTAAACAATATTTAGGAATAAACTAAAAACAGTAAAAACTTATACGTCAAATTTATTGATGTTTTTGTCAAAAGTTTGGTTAGAATTAAATGTCAGTGGAACCAAAATGACATCACACTGAACTAGCGTATTTGCCAGTAAGACGCGCTCGTCACTGACTATACTGACCTATGTCACTGACAAGGGCATGTACGTTAAGTGATTAATATTTTTTATTAGAAAGAACTTAAGATGTTACCTTTTTGTTCTAAATAATGGAGACCATATGCAGTTGAGCCTGCTGGTGATGATACATCATCTTTCAATTGACCAGGGTGAATCATTGTATCTCTAACCATCTGTCCTGCTCCTAGTACCGTCTGAGAAGCTAACCTCAATGCTAAATCTCTAGGCAAACCCATTTTGACGCCCCCATCCGCCAAAGCTTCTATCATTATGTACACCTAGCAAAAATAAGAACATGTTACTTTTTTGTGATAGTCTAAGAGCTAGCGGTTGCAAAGTGGTACGATCGTACATCCGGCTGGAATTTTGTGAAGTGGTAGGCAAGGATTTAGTAAAGCCCCTGCAAATGACACGTCAGACAACTCAAAGTTGTAATTTTGGTACACACACATTTAATTAGATAACTCACTTGACATGTAATTAAAATAAATAAACAACAAAATAAAAAAAAATAAAATAAAAATGCATGCATCGTTTCAAATCTAGGATTGAGAATTAATTATTTTTAAAATTTTTTTTATCTTAATAAGGCCTAAATTAATTTTTAAAATTTAGTATATTTTCGTTAGTAGGTATAGATAAAATGTATAACTCGAGTGGATTGTCCGTATCGCACGACATCGTGCTCAAATGTTGTCTTCTTGCGATATTGACCATCATATTGACTCATTACACAAACTAGGTACTATTTTATATGAGACTCCCGATGTTTTAGGTACCTATATTAAACACACTTAATCCCTTTAAATACAAATTCAGTACCTACCTAATTAATAATAATTATAATTTTTCTCGAGCAGTTTTTATCAAAATTAAACAAAATAACGTCGCAACTTCGTGAAATAAAACAAGAAAATCTGAAATTCCTCAATCAATTCAAAACCAATAATTTTGCATTTTTGTCATAATTTAATTTTAGAGTTTTATGAATTTTATAAGTTTCTTTTGGGACACCCAGTATGTCTACTATAGAATAAAACGTTTATATCCTACGTATACTATTACTTAAATAATAAATAGAAAAAATTATGGGGTCAACTTTCGTTTAGCCGAAATCAGTTACGTAAAAATTGTTGCCATGGCAACCGTTGTCAAGGTAACCAGTACACAAAAACCCAAATCTCGTGGTGAGGAAATGCATAGTTGCCAAGTTATAGATTATTTAATGTTCACTTTAGTTTAGACGAAATCAGTTATGGTAAAACTGTTGCCATGGGAACGCTTGACATAGTAACGACTAAACAAAAAGCAAAATCCCATGGTGAGGAAATGAATGGTTGCCAAGTTAGAACAGAAGTAAAAGTTGGAAGGGCTTTTGCCAGTTCTTCCACTTTATACACATAAATTGACAGGTTTGCCGCGGATCTCACCGAAGTGGACGCGGTACATTGGCGTACAAAATTATTTTATAGATGTTAAAAACAATTTCGAGTAAATAGTTTAATACATTGTAAATAGCTGTTGAAATTTTGTAAAATTATGATTTGAATATTATAGTACATGTTTAATAATTATTTATAGTCCATAAATACATGCGATTGTCCGGTTCCGCCGATAACAATTTAAAATTACTTATTCTATGAAACGACACTGGCAGGTAAACATTACTGCCAAATGTTTTAGTTCAGTGATGATGTATTTATGGTTCCACTGACAATTAAAGTGACAGTAGATTTTTTGAGTGCGTTTTATTCGTTTTGTTTACCTTAATTATATCAGCTTTGTCCCAACATCTCACAAAACCGTAATATTACGGTCATCGTCATGCGCAGTAAATAAAAACCGTTCGACTTTGGGCTTTATTGATAGGTTTTTATAAACTGCGCATGACGATGACCGTAATATTACGGTTTTGTGAGATGTTGGGACAAAGCTATCGTTTCTTCACTTTTATAAATATATTCCTAAAGTAAGTAGATAACATGCATCAAATATACAATCGTTTAGTTACCAATTCCATACCTTTAAACTATTTTTTATGACCTGTAAACAATATTTAGAAATAGACTAAAAACAGTAAAAACGTATACGTCAAATTTATTGATGCTTTAGTTAAAAGTTTGGTTAGAATTAAATGTCAGTGGAACCAAAATGACATCACACTGAACTGTGACTAGCGCATTCTCAAAGCCGTTCGACGTGGTTTGACGTTTACCCCCTCTCTACCTACCAAAAGCCTTTCCAACTTTTACTTTCTCTATACGTGTTGATGTCCGAATTCGTAAATTTAAAGTAATCAGATTCAGGTTACCATCATTACACACAAATTTTTATCCCATCTCACAACTAAAAAGTTAAAAATTTACGGTTTGCAATGAAACATTATGCACAAAAACAAATGTAGCAGGTATCCTCGAATCCTACAAAAACAACACTAGTAGCCCTTTCAAGGAAAAGAAAACTTAATCTCAAAACCGTTAAATTAGACGGGATAGATATAGAATGGAAAAATAAAGTCAAATATCTAGGCCTAAATCTGGACAAGAAACTTCTCTGGAACACACATGAGAAGGAAGTAGTAAATAAGGCCACACAAGCCCTAATGGTATGCAGAAACATTGCAGGTAAACGATAGGGATGTAACCCAAACATACTGCGATGGATGTATACTGCAATAGTGAGACCAATCATCACTTACGGGGCTATAGCCTGGAGTAACAGAACTAGTTTAGCTACTACGAGAGCTAATATCTCAAAAGTACAAAGACTAACCTGTGTTTGCATTACTGGTGCAATGAGAACCTGTGATCTTAAACCTCACCCCTCTACATTTGATGATAGAGAATGTGGCAAAAAGGACACGCTATAGAATGATCAGGAACGGAGTAAACAGACGAAAGACTACTTGCTTTAGGACTAAAGATACCTGGGACATGCCCCAGGATGAAATGCTAAAGAAGTACAGTTTTGTGAAAAACTTCAAAACTACAGAGCTGGGTTGCAAGAAAGAATTCAGTGGTATACGGACGGTTCCAAAACCATAGAAGGAACTGGAATAGGAGTGTATGGGCCGAGAACCAAGCACTCCGAAAGCTTGGGAAAATACCCAAGCATCTTCCAGGCGGAAATTCACGCCATCGAGAAGTGTATCCAGTTTAACATCGAGAGAAACTATCATAGACAAGAGATTATCATCATGCCCGATAGTCAAGCAGCCTGAGCTCTTACGAAATCAGCTCAAAAATGGTCTGGAGATGCCTAGAACAATTGAATGAAATAGGCGAGAAAAATAGAGTTACCCTAACTTGGGTCCTGGGACATAACGGGGTACAGGGTAACGAGATTGCAGATAGTCTTGCAAGGAAAGGGACTCAAACACCCTTTGTAGGACCTGAGCCGTTCTGCGGTATCAGCAGTAACATAATATTAGGAGAGGTTAAAAAAGAATTGAGCAGTAGAAGAAGCGATAATTGGAACAATCTCTTGGGGCTGAGACAGGTCAAGATACAGTTGGGTGAATATAACCAGAAAAGATCGGAAGCCTGCATCTGTCTGAGCATGAACAGGCTACGTATTGTAACAGGGATCCTTACCGGGCATTGCCGACTCAAAGGACACCTGAGTAAACTGAGAGTAGTAGAGGATAGTGAGTGTAGATTCTGCGAGGAGGAGGACGAAACCTCCATTCACATCCTAACTGAATGTGTAGCACTCCAGAACCCAAGGGCACTATATCTAGGAGGATATCAAATAGAAAAGGGAGATTTACCTAACTGGAAGCCACTTCAAATCCTACACTTCCTTGAGAAAATAGGATTGAAAGGGTCGTTATAAGCATTGAGATATTTCCTTGGTGTATTAGCGACAGAAGGGGACACAATAGATCTTTTAGGTCGCAGTGTATTAACACACCATTCCCAACATAACTAACATCCTCGAATCAATACCTTTATTATTTATTATATAAAAACTTGTATCGCTGTTTATGTGTTTCTATAGATCAGCGCTTTGACCTGATCTTCGTCTAGCGATTGAATTTAGAGTTAATACTTTCGAGCAAAATTATGAGGGCAGGTTCGTGTCTTAGATATGTAACGGCTCAGAGCTCTGAACAGCTCCGTTTTAGACTGCTGCCTTAAGGCTTATACCTAAATGTTACTAATTTTATCTGTAAAAAAATATTTCGCACCAATAACATACAGCTAATAAAAATAAAAAATCTAGAACACTCAAAGACACTGATAGTTTCCCAATGAATTAACACAAACAAGGTAATACCAGAATTTAAATGTTAAATATAAAAAAAAGGTTAACTGTTAAATAAATAAAAAACATTGTACTTACATAAGCAGGTCCTGATCCGCTCAAAGCGGTGATAGGATCAAGATAACTCTCTGGAACTTCTTCACATGTTCCTATAGATTGCAGCAGTTTTTTTGCCAGTCTAGCATCGTCTTTTGTTGCATTTTTACCACTAACGAATACAGATGCAGCATTTTGAACTAGAGCAGGTGTATTTGGCATCACCCTCATTACTCTAGCTTCATGAGGAAGTAGCTTAAATAGTATATAATATAAGATACATTTTTGCCGTAGAAATAATACAGGGTATCCAGAAACTCTCTTTAAAGCAAAAACGACAACATCTAGAGCCAATCCAAAAATGCATCCTAAAAGTGCAGGTGGCGTTCTAATATCAGTTCAATTAAAATAACTTTAAAACGAATTTCTGTATTATGATATCATTCTGTAAATTAATTTTTTTTAAATCTAACCAATCAAATTTCGTAAATATTTTTTATGTAGTCCTAATTAGTCTTTTACAAAGTTGCCATTTTGTCACGATATTTAAAAATTTCGTAATTTTTCACACAAAAATGATGCTCTTGTGTGAAGTCTCCATGACGAACCGTTTTCGAGAACAATCGATTTAAACTTTCCATGTGTCTTATGTCTTACATACGTTTCCATTGACATTTCTAAATAAATAAACAAAATATCTAAAAATTGTATGAATATCAAAAAATTAATACACAGAATGATATTTGTTTAAATTTTAGAACACATACAAATTCAAACATAATACTTCGCAAACCGCCCCTGTTCAATACATTTGTATTAAACACATTTAAAGAATGCATATTATTTATCCTACAAACAGGGGCTGTTTCTCCATTGGTTCATTTTTGCAGTGAACACCCAGTTACATTTCATAAAAACACATTATTTTAAAATAAACAACAAAAATATAAATTCAATTTTAATAATTTTATTGTTTTCATACGTGTTAATCTCTATATTTGGTACGCCACTGCGCTCTGGCTAATCGCGTCTCTTTTCTGAGTGAGCCCAAGGGAGTGAGATGCTTTCGCGAAAGCCTCTAGCTAAAAAGAGAAGCAAATATTTAACAGATCCGTGAAACGAATAATGGACCTGTTTAAAATCACTAAAATCCCCTTATTTTGCGCAACACACACAGTGACGTCACAAAGTAGAGCCGGGAATACGAATATTTTAAATCATAGATATAGAGATGCAATGACGGTACTAAAAGTGTCTGCACTTTTGCATTACCCTTTTACGATATATGTCAAACTCGAGCTAGTCAGTTTTGGTGATAATAAATGTCATTTTTTATACATCTGCATTCCGTCAATATTCAAATATTAACTTAAAATTAATCAAAATATGACTCAAAGTGCATCCACTTATATCACAAAATAGTGTTTATGTCGTCTCTACCTACTTCATATATCTTCTCAATGTTTTCAACTTTTCAATCAATCCGTTAAATTCTAAAAATCAACATGACAATTTTAATTGTGTATTGTATTTATTAAAAATTAAGTATAAATGAAACTGCGACTTTAATAAATCGGAAGTATGTGTGTCAAATCAACGATTGTTACCGAAAAACGTCTCAAGGTAAAAAAAAATACTATTATTTCCAAGTTACCGTTGTAATTTTTTTGTTTTTGTTCCAGGGTCTACAGAATAGTCATGTGTTTTATACCCAACTATGCATTGAGCAATTTTTTTTGTTTCTAACAAAAGACAAACGAAGTTTCAAAAAAATATGAGAATTTTATTATATATATCAAGGAGCAGTCTTTTCACCTCTGAGTAAAGTTGAAAATAACTTAATTAAACTATAGGGATAGTGTTTGTTAATCTGTCAAGTAAATCTACATGTAAGATCATCCTTAAACAATGATAATTTCTTGAACGTAGTACAATTTTATATGAATAATTGTTTATTTTGTAGGTTGTCCTTAATGCATTTGAAGTTATAGAAAAATGCCCTATCTATAAATGCTAGAGCTACTGATAAACAGTAGCACAGATGTAGCACTGAGGATTTTATAAACTTACATTACAGTTTTTTTAAAGACGATATAAAATATAAATATTACACTGGCCTAAATTAATTCAAGAAACATAATAGTTGTGTCTATGTTCAGTGGCGTAGTCAGAAATTTTTCATGGTAGGGGTTTCTGAGTACTATTTGGGGGGGGGGGGGGTTAACAAACAGTTAATAGCGATCAGCGCCAATAAGATAGCGGAAACGGGGACGCGAAGGCCTCCATGGGGGGGGAGGGTTATTATCAACATGAAATATTTAGTAAAAAATTAAACTCTATAAGAAGAGATAAAGCCTATTGATTCTGAAAAAAATCTAAATAAATTAAGGAGGGTTAAAATATTAAAAAAAATCTTAACTCAAAAACGAACAATGATATTAATTTGACATTTTTAGCATTCATCAAGCTCTATAAGGAGAAGAAGCCCTTTGATTTAAAAAAAAATCTGATTGAAAATGGGGATTAAAGGGGGGTTAAAATTAAAAAAAAAATCATAAATCAAAAATTAAAAATTAAAAGCGATATCAACATGAAATTTTTAGTAGCAATCAAGCTCTATCAGAATTGTAACACATTTTTTTATAAAAGTGGGATGGGGGGGTTAAAATATTTAAAATAAATCTAACTCAAAAACAATAATATTAACTATCTACAAGGGGATTAAGCCTATTGATTCTGAAAAAAATCTGATTGAAAATGGGTGTTAAGTGGGTCTGTTGAACTGTGAAAATTGTAATTTAGAATGCCACGCATTATATATCTTCATTCTAGTTTTTTCCTGTATAATATTATGTATTGTGATGGGATATTATAAAATACACATTTTAGTTCACATGTTTTTTGCCAATAAAAGGTATTTAAAAATATATTATTTTATTTAACATGTGTGACAAATTGTGAAAATGATCAAATTTGCAATAAAAATTGAAAAATGGTAGGTAAAGTTTCATATAATAATATTTTTTACACAAAAATCAATGTCATGCTTTCTACATAACCTGAGATATATTTAAAAATAATCTCAAAATATGAAGAAAAATCAGTAATATTTAGATGTTTTCAACGTATTAAAAACAAAACAAATATTACAATAACTAAAATTTTAATTTATTCATTCATTAATAGTTGTAGTGCTTGAAAACAGTATGATATTGATAATAATAACTAACATTTGTACAAAGTTTTGAACCGAACTTACAAATGATAAAATTATTGTAAAAAGTGAACACCCATTTTAAATTACCACAAGTCGCTACTGCCTGAAAATAATTTGCTCTACCCACGCATTCAAGAAGTGCATATCACCCATCCTGCAAATAGCAATTTCATACTTTGTACTAGATGTAGTATAAACTAAATATATTATCTTCAAGGCGTGCCAAACATCACGTATCATGTATTACATTCCTTTATATATTCTATCTCTTATAGGTACTGTAGCATTTTCTGTCGCTCCCGCTCAGTTGATTCTAGAACACTAGACGACTACGCCCTCCTCACACAAGAATTAACAAGAGCAAATCGACGCTCGACTGACTTAGGGATGCACAAATTTTTTAAAACATCGATGTTGACATCAAATGATACATCGAATATAGACTATCGATGTTGCAAAAGAAAATATCGATTTTTCTAAATATCGATGTTTGTTTTTCCATACATCGATGTGTCTGTAAACATCGATGTTTTCCAGAAACGTTCATTGAAGAGCAAAAAAAAATAATAATGCTTAACAAAAAGGTATTGAAACGAGGCGCCTTAACCAAATACCAAAAAAAACATGAAACGAAAATCATCGATGTTAGTTGAAAAATCGATGTTAACAGATAACATCGGATAAAAAAAACTCGATGTTGACAAATAACATCAGATAAAAAAACATCGATGTTAACATCGATAATCGAAACCGAAAAATCGATGTTTTTTAAACATCGATACATCGTGCGCATCTCTAGACTCACTCCAGTTTTAACCTTCGATCGGCAACGATGCCTTGGAAATAAATTTCTTTAAACGGACTACGTTGCCGACCTTTTCACCGACAACATATCTCATTCTCGCTTATTGGCACTTCAGTAATAACACAGACGCATACAATAAGTGACTAGTTTCGGGGTCGACATTTTTAACCTTTTAAATTCGAGAGATGCTAAAATGGTTGTTCCCACAAGGGTAAACTCGTAGCGTAACAAAAACGAGAAATGATTTAACTTGGAACGAAATACCCAAAGCCGATAATAGTATTAGAACGTTGAATTTTTTGGTTTCTAAAGCATTGGCATTACTTAGGTTAAACCATGTGATGATTTTCACAAGCTTTGATTTTTAAAACCATTCTATATCGCCTTTTGATTAGGGTTTAAAAACTTGTTTGAGCAATTTATCCAATAATAATGGCCCCTTGACCTCTTAAGCCTGCTCATGAAAAATATTTGGACTCCTTGCCTCGCCTATTTATATTCTATTAATAAAGGACAGAAGGATGAGTATTGCAACTATGTTAAAAGAAATAAATTGGCTTTCTCTTCACAATTAGAATCAGTACATGACTGATATTTATTTATAAAATAAAAATGACATAGTACCATCGCATTAGATCTATTAGAAAAAATTCAATATAATTCGCAATATTCCAACTATAATACAAGATGCCAACCTGACTTTCATCTACGGCAAGCAATCACTAAAAGTTCCCAAAATACAATTTTTATTAAAGGTTTAAAAAATTTAATAGACTGCCTACAGAAATTAAAAAAAAGCAACAATAAATGTATTCAAAAGTAACCTCAAACAATACTTGACAAATAAACAAAACGCATATACTTTCTTGAGATAATACTCTTTAAACCTGCCCTTTTTAAGTATTTCCCTCAATTTATTGTTATTTTACCCCTCATTTTACCCGCATTTATTATAAATTATTTGTTTTGAGATCATGTACTTTATTTTAAAAAATTACTTAATGTTATATTAATACTACTTACTATGTTTAAATTATTAATAGTTTTGCGACGATGTTATAGCAACTTATAGCCACAAAACTATTTTTCTGTTAAAGTAAATCCATAGAGAGCAATGTAATTTACAAAGACCTTCTTTCAACATACAAATAAATGACAACTTTATAATTAAAATGAAAAACACAACAAAATACTTTGGTATCATAATTGATCCAAATTTGAAATGGGTTGATCATATTACATCATTAAAATCCCAAGGTAAAAAGATTCATTTTTAAATTTTATGATTTGAGATAATTTATGACTAGGAGTCTACTAATTATTATTTACAATTCGCTGGTTGAATATGTAATCAAAAGAAGTATACATTTTTAAATAATTTGACAATTAAGAGACATTCACACATCACAGTTGACATCTTGATACTTGACAGGCACAGCCAAGCATTACTCTGATTTTTGCCAAATAAAATGGCCGGTTAATTATTCTATGGGGTTGCGACAGAGAGCCAGTAAATTTGATGGTGTTTTTTTTAGCTAGGGGCGAAATAGTATTACGCTCAATAGCACCACCATAAAAAAGTAATTTTTAAGAAACTGCTTATATATTTTTCATAAATTGGCAGGCTTGGCGACTAATTTCGAATAAAAATAGCATCCAAATGGCTATGATTGCAAGTATGAAGGTCGCAACCCGCCTTAAAAATTTCACCTTTACTATTAACAGCTGGGGTGCGTTCAGAAATGTAGGGTAAATGCGTCCGGACGTTGTCTAAATTCTAAAAATTGTTCCTAAATATGAAACGTTTTATCTGGACGAATTACCCCAGCCGTTCCTATTTAAAAGAAACACGCGTCGGGATGAAGAAATTTTACCCACCGTGTTGAGTTGGGTAATTTTTACTCGACTTGCGCAGTATGTCATAACCCTAATTAATCTAAGAGAACCACCTTAATTAATTTCCTATTTTTACATTTTGAGCAAAAAATATTTAAATATGAGTATGAGTGAGAGAATTAATTCCATCAATTATCGTCTAGTTGTCGGAAACGATGGTAATTTCATTATAGAAAATATTAAAATTTATGAACAGGATTAAAGGTAATGAATTGAATTTTTACATAAAAAAGTCATGTGGACGTCAATGATGTTACCTACAATCTCAGATAACAAAAAAGACATAATCAAAAACTTGATTTGACAATACTTTGCATTTACCGTTCGTGTTTATCGGGCAAAAATAAACGTTCCGACAAATTTTTGTTTGACAGGTCGTTAGAGAATTTATGGAATTTATGGAATTTATGGAATTTATGGAATTTATGGAATTTATGGAATTTATGGAATTTATGGAATTTATGGAATTTATGGAATTTATGGAATTTATGGAATTTATGGAATTTATGGAATTTATGGAATTTATGGAATTTATGGAATTTATGGAATTTATGGAATTTATGGAATTTATGGAATTTATGGAATTTATGGAATTTATGGAATTTATGGAATTTATGGAATTTATGGAATTTATGGAATTTATGGAATTTATGGAATTTATGGAATTTATGGAATTTATGGAATTTATGGAATTTATGGAATTTATGGAATTTATGGAATTTATGGAATTTATGGAATTTATGGAATTTATGGAATTTATGGAATTTATGGAATTTATGGAATTTATGGAATTTATGGAATTTATGGAATTTATGGAATTTATGAAATTTATGGAATTTATGGAATTTATGGAATTTATGGAATTTATGGAATTTATGGAATTTATGGAATTTATGGAATTTATGGAATTTATGGAATTTATGGAATTTATGGAATTTATGGAATTTATGGAATGTATGGAATTTATGGAATTTATGGAATTTATGGAATTTATGGAATTTATGGAATTTATGGAATTTATGGAATTTATGGAATTTATGGAATTTATGGAATTTATGGAATTTATGGAATTTATGGAATTTATGGAATTTATGGAATTTATGGAATTTATGGAATTTATGGAATTTATGGAATTTATGGAATTTATGGAATTTATGGAATTTATGGAATTTATGGAATGCAAAGAATGTTAGAAATGTTGACGTTAGAAATAATTGGAATTCCTAAAATTGACACATGGGTGATTCTCGCCTAACTGTGATTTTTACAACTTACATTTTTCTAAAATTAAAAATGTTTTAAAACGTATGTTTTACGCGTTTTTGTTTTCTATTTATGCATAGAAATAAGCCTGTAAAGTGGTTCTACTACAGCTACGACACAACGAAAACTGTGACAAAATTTAAAAATTTTAATGCCACGGTACTGACATTATTTCCACGGTACTGACATATAAATGATTATTTTTTTTACCAATCCAAAGATTGGTATAAAATTGCAATAAAATTCAATGCATTATGCATTAGATTGTAGTTATAAGAGGTAAATTTTATATTAAAAAATGAATTTTGATAGAAATTTATATATTTAATTTTAAAAATGAGAATCGGACATGCCACGGTACTGACATTTCGAGTATATTTATATGCAACTTAAAAAAAATTACGAAGGTTTATGATCTAATTCATAATGTCGGTTGTAAAATACCTCTAAATTTATAATATTATTAACTTTTTGATGAGGAAAACTTATGCTAAACGATAAATAAAACACTGGACATAAAAAATCACAGAATCACAGAATCACCCACATAAGGAATGCATAGGCGGATTTTAAGAAAATTGATATTAAAGTAGTTAGGATGAACCGAAAATTCTGAAAATCAATAGGGTCCTAAGTTAGAAGTAATTATTCAAGAAAATGAAAATCGCAAGTCAATCAGAACTTTCGTTCTAGAGTTATCGTGCCGGCATACATACACACAGATGACCAGATGAATTTTTTTTTGCATTTTCGGACTCAGAATGATCAGAAACATAAAAAAACTTTTAAAAAATGGGGGTCAGAAAATTTTTTCGTCTGCACGAATGCAATACTGAGGCCCGATAGGAAATCTGTTTTGAAGTTATTTCAACTAAACCGATGTTAGAATGCCTCCTTCAATGAGCTCAAGATCCTTTATTAAGCGTTTTTGGATTGAGGTAATTTAGGTCAAAAGCTCTAGATTTTGTTGTTTTTTCTTTCTGGATAACCTGTATTCTCGAAAATTCTAAATAATAAAGATGATTTTCGTGCAGGGGCGGCTCGTGACCAAAATTTTGAGGGTTCACAGTAGCAGAATATAGATCCCGGTACAGATATAGATAAAAAACTGTCCATGTTTTAGAAAGGTATATTATAAACTTTCTAAAACACTGAAAGTTTTTTCATACATCTGTACTGATACTGTTACTGTGAACCACCCCACGAGCCGCCATTGTTTTCGTGTCTGAAGTCGGAACTGCATACCTATTTTTTTAAATTTATTGTTAATATGACAAATAACTACCTTTTCTAATTGTTTTATAGTGACTCCCATTGCAATCGATAAAAACAATTTGTCAGCCTTTGTCTCTTTTTTCTTAATATCACCTAAAGCCTCTGGCACTATTGACGGTTTTGTGGCTACTACTACTACATCTGAATTTTCTACTACTTCGATATTTTCAAAAGTTGTTTTCGCACCAAGTTCCTGAAAATAAAACGAGTTACAATAAAATAGAAAATATTTATTTATAAAATGTACCTGCCTTAAAAGCTTTAACTGATAATGCATCTGAGGGGTGACAGCTTGATGTCATTGCCTCTCCTTTTGTAAGACCTGCAAAAATATTTATTATGTAGATTATTGTTATGTATAGTTATATGAATGGTAGGTACAAATACCCTATGGATGCCATACTATCGAATTTGAATAATAGTTAATAATTTCTTTATATCACTATAATTAAAAGCAAAATAATTAGAATCTGTGAAAAACATTTAGAATTTATCAGTCAGCTTCACGTGTTATCAAATTCTGAATGACTTCCTGCCTCATTCAGACAAACTTTTCCAAATAATCTCAAATAAATGTGGGATTCTATAGGTAGAATGGAGAACTGCTAGAACCCCACCAACATTTTACAATAGTAATTTATTTTCGTAGTCAATTAGATTAGATCTCACCAAAAACGACGAAATTTGTCCTAGCTACATATATAAAGGGTGATCTTCATATCTATGAGGGTGATCCATAAATTTTTTTTTCTAGAGTAGGTCATGACCGCCAAATACAAATATACGAATCATGTCCGTGATTATGCACAGTTCTGAATTAAATCCGAACTGACAACAGAATTGTACGCTCCAAGAAGCGTGAAATTTTCCAAGGCCTACTATAAAAATATTTTATGTGTATCACTTCATAGTATAGGAACAATGAACTAATAAGTAAAATGTGAAGTTAAACCGGAAAATATCGATCAAGGAGAAGCGACACAATCTGCCGGTGCCTTTGATATCGGCTGGACCTTTTTCACAGCATGAATATTATTAATAAACAACTTAATACGCTGAGAAAACCTGCTTATATTCTACACTGAGCGAAATAGCTTGGCAAATTATCTGAAATATCTGTATTAGTCTACGCGCAAATGTTATAATGTGATTTATTCACATTGTAGTTAGGGTAAATAATAGCAATAGAGTTTTCGGCGCCAAAATATAATTCCTTGTGTATTATTTAATTATTTAATATAAAAGTAAAAGACGTTTATTGTATTTTATAATTTATTTATCTATAAGAATTGTTCCTTATTTGATTTATTCATGGTTAAAAAGTAATAAAAGTCCCATATTTAGGTAAATTAAATTACCTTTTTCTTATGTAAAAATAAGTCAATAAAATTAAGCGTGCCAAAAAAATTTAAGTAACAAATTAAAAAGACATTTTAGAGAGTTTAACTAAATATTTGCAAAGTACAAATATTTTCAATGCTTTTAGGTCTACATATTTTTATAATTTTTGGATTTATATTATATTAAAAGGACTTTTAAGGTTTATGTATTAAGAGTTGAATACCTGGTCTGGCTATCACCCAGACAACACAAATAGGTACATACAATTTTGAATGTTTGGACATGTCCAAAAATGAGTTTTTCTGGACTTTCGACATCTAATGGACGTCCAGTGAAGTATACAAATGGCACACTGTTGATCATTCAGAGGACGTCTAGGATTATATTTCCACCGAGACCGGATCCCCACTTTTTGACACCACCGCAACTAACCACCCACTATTTTATAAAATTAATAATTTATTTGTTATTTTCGCAACCCGCTATACACTATTTATCTATTTTTAATTAAAGATCGCTTGACCTGAGCAGGAATCGAAATCACGACACGTCTATTATCGTTCTACGCTTACAACCGCTAGACGATCTCGTCCAAGGAGCCACTTGAAAACTTTTTACTAGGTATGGTTATAGTAGAATAAGATTTCAAATATCCACAAATGCAATAGATTCAATTTGTCAATTTTTAATGACCAATTATATTAAAAAAAAGATGTGTATATATATAAAAAGTGTATATAGATGGGTATTATTTGGTCAAATTAATGATCATAAACGGACGTACACTGGATGCCCGGACATTACATAGATCAAAATAGAAATGATGCGTTTGACATTTTGTGACAGCCTGACAGCTGATGCGGAAAGTAGCATATTCACACACGGGTGGAAAGTAAATTCTTATTCATACGCGTGTGATATAGGGCACTTTCCATAGGACTGTATAGTGTGAAAACACCAAGCTGTCGCTTCTCCTTGATCGTAATTCTCGGGTTAAACCATAGACATCATATCTTTGGGTTAAACTTTGTTAGTTTTTTTTCTGTTAATTTAATGAAATGGAAATATCTGGAGGGTAAATATACATGATTTAATTGTTTAATTATACTGGTGGCAATATCAGAGTGGTGTATAAAAATGAGAGTAGAAAAAAAAATGTTTTGGGAAGATTATTGATTGGCAGGGGGAAAGAAAAAGTCAAGACGTTTTGGGAAAATATTGTAATTTGTTGGATTTTCAAAGAGTTAATGAATTGGAAAGTTAATAAAAAGATTAAAAAAAGATAAAAAAATGTTTCAGAAATAGAGGAAGAGTAGCCAGAGCATATTGTAAGTCGCAGGAGAAACATTCCAAGGAGCAGCACCCAGAGCGAAAACGAGAATAATTGTTATAATTTATTTATCATTTCAAATTTTTATTCAGTGGTAATATTTTAGAAACTTGATTTGAAATTCGTTCATTGATTGGAAATTCTATATTTCAAAAGGAAGTTTCCTTATCAGTAAATACGCTTTCTGGATAATATCATGACCTTTATAGAGTTTACAAAAAGTGCATTATAATCACAATATTAAAAGTTCGGCGTTTAATAATAGAATTAGGAATTATTATGTTATTTTATTATCGAAAAGGCGCAATAATATCTATATAATAATAATAATAATAATAATAATAATAATAATAATAATAATAATAATAATAATAATAATAATAATAATAATAATAATAATAATAATAATAACTTGTTAAACTCGTTATTTTGACATGTTGCGGCCGGTGGACTCATTGATCGCCGGATTAATTCTGTCGGTAAAGTCTTGTTTTCTTGTATATTATTAAATTATATTATTAAAAGTATATGGGTGGTCAAGCAATAAATAAGATCGTCATGATCAGGCGAGATGCAGTCAAAAACATAGCGTTTCCGTGAATTTTCACAGAGGAAAAGTGTGGTAAAAATGAAGCCACTCACAAATTTTTAAATGTGTGTTAATCAAGCAAAGCAGGGTAGACGTATTGTGAACTAGAAATCCTAATTACAACCCGGAGTTACAAGTATTTCTACTGTTTCTCATTTGAAAGCACTTTCAGAGATACATTATGAAGTGTTCAATTGATTTAAACAAATATATAGCAATTTTAGATAAAAAAATATGTTTATATCGTATTTACTAATCAATTTTCTGGTATATTGGACTAACATAACCGTTACTAACAAACACTTTCTCCTGCTCTCTCAATATTTGATGTAGTGTATTTTGATAATCTAACTATTGTTAATGTGTGTTAAATAAAAAGATAAAAATCACCGTCTTCATTATTATACAGGGACATATGAAGTCCTTAGTTTTGGCCAATTTAATTTCTTCACGAAATTAATTCTGAAAAAAATACAAGATGCGTTTGATATTTGTTTTTATGTCAGAGTTTTTCATCAAAACAAATTGGACAAAGCTTAGAAGTAGGAGAATACGTCATGGATACATTGTATACATTTACTTTGTTTTTTCTTACTTATTTTGTTTATTATTAGGAGTTACAAGTTTGTCTGCTGTTTCTCAATTGAAAGAACTTTTAGAGACCTATGAAGGGTTCAATTTCGTTTTTCTCGAAAACGGTCGAAATTATTAAGTTAAAACAAGTCATGTGGCACACCCGGTATCAAAATGATGTAATTTAATAAATAATATTTCTTGATTAAAGCTATGCTTCCGTGTCAATGTTGATAACGATTTATGGATGTTTTTAAATACCAAAAAATAAAAAAAATCCACTTTAACACTTTTTCCACACAAATATTTTATTAAAGCATGTTTCGTCGAATCCTCACATTTTGGTCCAAACCACCTACGCCTACTCTATGTCTTACCTCACCCTGTATGTGTTTTGTAAAAATATTAATGGTTCAAGTTTAAATATTTAGATAAAGAATATTTGAGTTATTTTTGTTAATTTTGTGTAGCAATATTATTATTAGTTTTATCTCTACGTGAATAAAAATAATTAAATATGCTGAAACTAAACTATTTCGTAAAGTGGAAATAAATTTGTCTTATTTATTGGTAAATTTATTTATTTCTCAATTTGAAATATAAAGTAAAACAGATATATTCACATTATCCAATAAATTACAGAAACAGAAACAACATTATTTCGTGCCTACATTCATTGCATAAACAGGTAGGTACATAGCTATATACGCATTATTGAAAACATCTCTTACTAGGTGGTGTCGTCTAAAGTTCATTTGACCTTACTTCATTAGATTTTTAATAACATTTAAAAGAACTACTTCATACATCGATGGTCTAAAGCAGCCATACTCAACCTGCGGCCCGAGGGCCGCATGCGGTCCTCCAAGCTTCTATTTGCGGCCCGAAACACTGTTATTAAAGTGTTTTTTAAAACTATAGGTTTGTTTTTAAAATTTTGAGCGAAAACATTCATCGGTCACTGCGCTAAATAGCACGCTATTTTTTTAAATAAACGTTTGCCGAGGGGTTACTGCAAAAAACAGATAACTCCACTTTTTCCCTTTTCGAGTTAAGTACACTTTCGTCTCCAAAATAGTTCAAATAATACATGGCATAAACAAGACAAGTGTGAACGAAATCTATATTCATGATAAACAGATGGTCAATTAAAACTAACTCCATATTAATACATTCACAATATGCACAAACAAGATGAGTGGCATTTGTACCGAAACAAAATCATTACATTGCTAACATTGTATCTACTAAAACCAGATAAGAGACATATAACTTATTTTTGCTAACTGTATTTAGTGCCAAACAAGATAAAGTCCTGAATACTTATTTTTGTTGAATATACGCGTATTTATTGAAATAATTTAACATTTTGCTGAATCAATTTGTTATGTTTTGCCTAGAGCCGTCTCTGGATTTCTCGACAATGTGATTACGTCACCCTTTCTTTCTGCGATACAGCTAACCTTCGAAAACCGACAGAATGGCTGAG